CTGTTGCCCTACATCACAGGATTAAACTACTCACTGTTGCCCTACATCACAGGATTAAACTACTCACTGTTGCCCTATATCAAAGGATTAAACTACTCACTGTTGCCCTACATCAAAGGATGAAACTACTTACATCATACACAAGGTGGCACATACAGAGCCTTTGATTTCGTCATGACATATTCAAAGGGGTAAAGAGAGCGCCAGTGAGCATAACCCCTGAAATTTTGAGGATGTCAGTACTACTGACTTATTATGAAGGTAAACTGTCTCTCCACACATCACCGAAGTAGCTGTTCACATATCTAATACCAAAAGTTGCATCAATGAAGACTTTTCGTACTTTTAAGTCCATTTATCACATAATCGGCCTGTTATCCAGTGAATTCGCCTGTATATTTTTTTACATATGTCACTAGTGTAATATACCCTGGAGTGTTTTTCATTGACTGTGCCAGTCAGAAATCTATTGTGACGTCATAATATGGACTATGACCTGACGTCATAAATTGTGAATGGCTGTCTCCATTTGATTAAGCCCTCTACATTTTGGCTTTAAAACCTGTCAAAATGTAAGTTTTCTGAGTTATGTGATAAAAAGTATATTAAATTTGTTTTCATTTCATATGAGCTTTTATGAAACTGGTCTCGAAGTTTTAATTTTTGCTTGCTAAGGCTCGCAAAAATAAAAACTCCTAAGACTTGTTTCATAAAATCTCATATGAAATGAAAACTCATTTAAGATCCTATATGTATATGACAAGACCTTGGAAGATACGGTCTGTCAATATATCTTGTATATCTTGTCAATACCTACCTTGGAATTAAGGATTTGGCTTCATCAGCATTTTCTGGACAGAGGTTGGCAAGGGCAGCCAGCTCAAACTTGTGCAACTTTTTCTGCATCAGAAGACTGAAATGCAAGATTATCAGATTATGTTTATACATATATTGAATCACGTCACCTGTATTTGAAAATGAAAAAAAAAATGAAATCTGATTTGTACTCATAAAATTTCAATATTATATTTGTATAACATAAAGTTTGAATTCTGTTTGTACGCACAAAATCTTGAGACCTTGCTTTTAAATTAAAATATGGAAACTTCAGGTAATTGTCACGAGTTTTCAAAACTTTTTCAATTATGTAGACAGACCGGTATGTCTACTTTTAAAATCAAAGTAGGCCTTGAAAACATGTGTACTTCGAGAGTAGTATATATATAGATTTGCATGAAAAGAATTAACTCAAACAAATGAAGACTTTTTTAATACAATTGTCAATAACCAAAAAAGGCCAAAGGGAGACAATTAAACATTCCCAAACAAGAGGCCCAGATGGCCCGTATCCCTCACCTGGATATGTTTAAAGTACTTGGTATGAAGTAAAGATATAGCACTTCATGGTAGGTACTGTATGTACATATGAAATTTCAGAAAGATTCATCCAGTATTTCTGGAGATATAGCGAGAACATACCTCAAATATTAAAATCCAAGATTGCGGCCAGGTGGCCATCTTGTTTTAATGAATACACCCTATTAGTAACAGTCACTACTAGACACTTGATGGAGACACAAATTGGAATTAAATCCAGTAATCCCGATGGTAGAAGAAGGATTTCAAAAGTTTTACCTATATATCCCCTATTGGGCCCCACCCCTCTGCCCTGGGGGCCACACCCACAGTTTATACAAATTAAGTGCCCTAGGCCCAAGGATTCTCCAGACCAAATTGGGATGAAATCCCTTAATCCCTAAGGCAGAAGAAAATTGTAAAGGTTTACCCCTGTTTCCCATATTGGGACCCACCCCTACTTGTTTATGCAAAATTGAGTGCTCTTGGCCCAAGGATGCTCCAGAGTAAGTTAGGATAAAATCCCTTTATTCCTATGCTACAAGAAGGATTTTAAAAGTTTTACCTTTATTGCCCCTATTGGCCCAACTCATCTGCCCTCAGGGGGACCACACCCACTGTTTTTACAAAATTGAGTACCCTTGGTCCAAGGATACTCAGGACCATTTTAGTTAAAATCCACTAAGCCATTCAAGATTTCAAGATTTCATAAGCCGTTCAGGACTTAAGTAGCGTTTTAAAGGAAAATTTGACGGACGGACGACGGACGCTGTGCCATGGCATAGCTAAAAAGTAAAACATTATATTAGATGTTATAGAGATTCTAATTAATATTAAAACATATTGAGTGTAAACACATGTTCTCTGGCCTAATCACATATTTGTCACAAATAGTTAATAAATTTCCACACCTTCTTACAGCTGAAATGGTTTCTCTGTTTTTGAATTTTGAGAATCTGCTGGTGTAATTTAGAGTCTTCATAAACACTTCGGACAGCTCCTGTTCTTCTTCAGCACTCTCATTCTGCTGTTTCCTGGAAAACATTCAGTTACGGGTATGTAGATGTGACAAGGACAACTGATATACAAGATATCATATTTAAAGAGTACTTATAGCAATTCATCAAATTATTTTATGTACCAAAGCATTGAATGAGAAGTTAATAAACCATTCCTTATTTTATGATTTATGTTTATATCTGTCTATCAGTACTTACTAATTGCTCTCACGGGTATATAAATAGCGTGTGTAATGTTCTATTTAACTACCTATTACAACTTTTAGAAAGTGCTTAATTATAATAAACACTAAATTCATAAAGTCTCAGAATTCTGTATGTAATAGATCTATGTCTTTAGCACTAAATCATGGAGAAAGTAACTTGTAAATTGTTGATGATGATGCACAGAAAAATGAGAGTGTTACACATGTACATGTATCATGCTATCTAAGTTGTAGAGGTATGTGTTTTATTTGACTAGCATTAGCCAAAGCCCACAAAAGTCTAAAGGACTTGGGGCGTTATGGGTCGTTTTTGGCCCCATAAAAAGTAAAAGTTTCAAATTGAATTTATTCACTAATTTCTGTTATAAACATCATATCGGATAATTGGGGCTTTCTTTCTTGGATAAGATTTTTTCTAATGCGCATGCATAGATGCTCTTCCCTAGCAACAAATTTGCGTTGCTATGGGGAAATTGCCAAAATATTGTGTTTTTGGACAGTAGCATGCATGCAGAAATGAGAGTCTCAAAACCTGCATGTGACAAACAAAAATCCCTTCCGACGAATGAACACTGGTATGACAATGTTTAAGCATTCAAATATTCATTTGTTTGTTGCATGTGGAGGCTTTCAAATATTGAAGAATGTTAAGTCAAAATGGCCAATTTTCAACCAAATAGCACACTACCAATGATATTCAAGCATTTTAATACGAAAATGAGGGGTTCATGTCTCTCTTTGTAATGCCATATCTCCTAAACCAGTCGTCGATTGAATTCAAAATTTCATATTTGCGTACTTCATTTATTCCAGATCACGAATATAACAACTAATTCTAAATCCTTAATGAGGCCAGAAATGACTCTTAACACCCTAGTCCTTAGCTACAATAGTCAATTTTCTTCATTTAGTCAGCAGGGCTTTCAGTTGAGCCTTGACATTTAGCAATTTCAGAAGACAAATCACCTTTTCCTTGAAATGAATGGTCAAAACACATGTCAAATTAATATATGCTTTCAAACCCGAGAGTCATTTTTGGAGTCAAAACCATCCTCAAGAGTCTACTGAAAGTCCTTGTTCGAAAAACAATTACATGTAAAAGTGTTTTAAATCAATTTCATCTTCTCTTTTAATTTTTTTAAATGCAAGTTAAACAGCCAGAATTACTTCTTGTAATAAGATTTTATAGCAAATTTAAACACTTTCTATATAGACAAAATAGAACATGTGGATTCACAAGTGAACATTGCATACACCATGTATGTAACAATGCGTAACAGGAAAGAGAATAGTGTGTTTCCACCGTGATCGAACCCACGATCCCTAGGTTCATAGTCGGGCGCTCTACCACTAAGCTAAAGGAAAATTCCCTCTAGCTCGAAGCTAGAAGGCGACCGTAATCCTATGTACAATTAAAACCTGCCACACTACTCCCCCCTTTTTTAAATGTGTTCGCCCTCGAACACCATGTGACCAAGGTTCTAACTCCCTGTCACCACAGGGAAGGCCACGGACACCATTTTTAACAGGAAAGAGAATAGTGTGCTTCCAACGGGGATCGAAGCCTCAATCTCTAGGTTCCTAGTCGGACGCTTTACCAATGAACTTAAGGGAAATTCCCTCTAGCTCGAAGCTAGAAGGCGACCGTAATCATATGTACAATTAAAATCTGCCACACGTCACATGTATATAAAACCAGATGCAATTAACTATTTAGCTAGTTATAGTACATGATATACAAACCTGTGATCTAGCAACATCTGTACTTCTGATATCAACAATGTTTCTGCATTTTCAAATTCTGTAAAAAAAAAAGACATTTAGACATTATATTTGAATTACAGGTCATGCAGTTTATAACTGTATGCTATAATTAGCACTGCTAAAAATTGGAAAATAAAAATCCTTTGCTATGCGATTGATACTGTCTACTGGTGTCCAGTACGGATGATGAAATTTTTCGAAGATTCAAAATCTACAGCCCGAAACCCAAATTGATGTGTTTGCAATCTTTAGACCGCTACTGATTTGCGAGAGTTGTCTCCCTTACATCGTAATTTTAACTCATTCTCTATATTGCACCATGACTGAGACTGCCAGTACACTTTATGTACCGTTAATGATTGATTCTTGTTTTGATTACATGCTAATATAGTTTAATACCAATTAAGCATTTTCTTGTTCCCATACACACATTTCCGACATAAACCGCTGTAAAAAAGGACGTGGACCGGTGTACATTTTATGCTGAACAGTACTTAGCCTTGCTTAGGTACTAGTTGATGAATTGCCTAATAATATGTATGCATCCATCTGTAATTTCTAACGCGAAATCTTTTAAGGATTCATTTATTCTTTATCAAATAAATGCTTTTAAAAAGCGAAACACCGTTTGATTAAAACTCAAACGTCGGACAATGACAAACACACGTGCTTGTTTATGCCAGCGGGCTTATGAATAGAAAACATGACACCATAACTATATATTAAAGCACTCATTCGTATACCTTATATAAATATGCTATAAGAAACAAACTGAACACATGATAATAACCTTTAGGAAACATAAGTTCGGATGCATCCTCGTCGGGCTGTTCGTTTGGAAGTGGAGCTGTCGCCATGTTGTTTTGAAATGTTCGAATGAATAAGCACCGAACCGAATAACGGAGGCGGATTTAATCCGGATTCATGACTGATATATACGTGATATACAAGAAATACAGATCAAATTCATAGTAAAGGCTTTACTATGAATTTGATCTGTATTTCTTGTTCCGTTCATAAATTAAAAATAATGTCTTATTTTGTCAATGATCTGAAAAAAATTAAGATACTTTAAGTGACAAACTGTTTTCCATGTTAACACTTTACTTTTTGATCGTTTTACATGATTTAAGTGAGTTACAAGAAATTCGGTTTGAGCACAAGAGCAATGCTTAAGCATGAGAACGGTGTCATGAATACGGGCCCAGGTGTCACTTTCGTTGATCTACGCTGCACTTTCTCCGTTGTTTCGATATCTTTTGTTTTGTATGGATTCCACACACTTGCTGCGTATTGGGGTCTGACCAGTGCATTGAAAAGATCTTCGTCCACCATTACTCCTATATCCTTTTCTGATAAAATTTTCTACAGTTTAATTTTTATCTTCTCCCGCTCCTGCCATGAAATAATTTCTTGTCGTCTTTCGTTTTATTGTAAGTAGTTTGCATGTTTGAGGGTAAAGTTTTAAAAGCTATGCTTTAGACCAAGTTTGCTTCTCTATCTTTAGCAATCTTTATTTTCCTGTAATGTTCTTTAAATGGTACATTCTGGTAGGTAATTTATATAAAATTACAAACAGTATTGGACCAAAGACACTTCCCTGAGGGTTCCACTGACTACCGGATGTTCTTGTATTGACCAATACACATTGTTTCCGTTGGCTTAGAAAACTCTCTATCCAATCGACAACTTGGTAACTTATACCATGTCCTGAGCTTTCTAACTAATCTTCGATGTTGTACATTGCCTAACGCTTTCATAAAATCCATGTAAATAATATCTATCTCGCCTTTCCGATCCATTACTTCTATCCAATCCCCGAGAACCATTGAACGTTGCAATATCGTAGATCTTTTGGCGATGAATCCAAATTGTTTGTTCCTAAACACATTGTTTTCTCCACGTGTTTGACAATAGCATCTCGTAAACTGTTAAGGCTTACCAGTCAATATTCCTCTGGATCTGATTTTGATACCTTTTTAAGTATAGTTGTAATGTTCGCTTCCTTCAATGTCGTTGATACTCTCACTTCTAGTATGTAGTGATGTTTTGGAAATGATACTAAGAGGTTTGCTTATAACAGAAATGAAGTTCTTTCATAACCTAAGGGTGCATCTGGTCTGGACCTTGTGATGTGCTGCCATCAAACCTTGTCAACAGTTTACCCACACCTTCTTCTGTGCAATGTATTTCTTCCAATGCTTGTTCAATATATCTCCTTTCCATTGTTGGTATTCTCCTGGTAGTTCCTCCGTGAATACACTGCTAAAACAACTGGCCAACACGTCCTTTATCCTTGTCATTTACTGCAATGTTTTATTCATTGCCATTCAAGCCTTTTAAATTCAAAATGCCTGTCTTAACTTATCGCTTCGAGTTGATATATTTCCAGAATCGCTTAGGGCTGTCTTTGATATTTCCAGTTATGTTTTTCCATATCGCGCCTAGCTTCCTCAGCACACCCTTCACTTGATATCCTAATTTTGTATATTCCCGGTATGTAAGTTCAGACCTTGTTTCCATGTACCGCTGCCATGCCCGGTGCTTTCTATTAACTTTTGTCTGGTTTCCTCACTTAATGGAAGAGATCCCCCTGTTTTTTCCGTATATCTATACTTGCTTGAAGAATTACCATTTTTTTTTTAATATATTGAGTCCGGATCCCCATTTAATAATTCACCCCACATTATATCTAGATCGGTCATCATACCAGCGTAGTTCCCTTTATCATATATGTCATGGTTCATGGTATTATTGTTTTGTTGGCATATGAATTTTTTTAAATGAAGTGATCACTCTGTCCAAGAGGACTTTCATGGATATTTTTCTTTTACCATTTCCTCTTAATTTGTTATTACCAGGTCGAGTACAATCGGCTCGAATCCTAACCCTAATTGTCTCTTAAACATTCTATAAAGTTCTAAAAAATACTCGTTTGAATTTGGTTGCTCTATGCATCAATATAATAAGACAATTGTCGAGCTATTTGTTTTTCAAAACAAAGCAAACTGTGAGATCCCTGCTCAACCCGGGTTGCACTTGACCAAAGTTTCCGTAAAATTATTCTCCTTTTCACCAACCCTCTGATGATGTAGAAGACAAGTGGTTTGTTGCTTATTATCTGTTTAAAGTATTGAAACACAGATATACAATAATGTACCAATATATAAATACACAAAGCACCTTCTCACAACATGTACTCTACTCTTGACACAACGTTTGATGTTAGACAATGCATCTAAGCATCGTTAAACGAGTTTGTCTTCCTCCCAAAGAGGTAGACATGTATAATTTGTAGATTTGTGATCCTTTATCATTTATATACACCTGATGTTTTTATATATATTGAGTTTCAATATACTTGCATTCACACTAATTATAAGATGATAATCCATTATAACTATATGTCTTTTGAAGTGCTGCCTATCAACTGCTGTCCTTAACTAACTATATAAGCATCAGACTCCCAGTGTAATGTGTTGTATCTTCAACGGGGAGCAGTTCCAATTTAATGTGTTGGGAAGTTTCTGACCTGACATGACCTGCACATTTACTATGACCTAGGAGTTTCATCAATAGAAATATCGATATTAAGTTCCTTTTGCTAAAAATATGGCATCTCCGTCGAGGGGGTTTGATCCCTTCACATTTTGAGTACACATTCTGATATTTGTAACGGGAATACATGTCTGCAGTATTATTGGGAATAACTTCCCTAAAAAGGCTCGAAAAAACTTAAATCTTTGCATGAATAATACAGAGGAAACCCATAGACTTACTCAACAAGAGATACAGTTAAGCGATTCTCTACTTTGACTTTAATTAAATTATTAAATTGTTTGTAAATAAGCATACCACATTACATCATACAAATTGTACTTGCATATGAGTTTATACTTGAACAAAAGAACAGGGAAATCTGTACGAGATTTGCTGTAACCAAATTTAATTATCTCTTTTGAGTCTTTACACATTACCCAGTGCTCGACCTCTGATCTGTAAAATTCATATCATTAAGGAGTTTCATGCGACTCGCCTTTTATTTCAACACTAGTTTAGAAAAACTGTACCTCTAGCATCAGGTTTCCTAGAAAGATGACAACGTTAGACACACAATTCAATTAGATATTAAAAAAGTATAACGACAAACATAGGAGACCTATAGGAAGGAAACAGCTTAATAATGCCGTGTAATTAATCTTACCAAAGTTCATAGGTGCAATCATGTGTGTATCTTACATTCATTTTTGTTTATGAACTTGATTTTATATTCATTGCTTGTACATATGAATGTACTGAAAACAGTTGAAACATATAACAGAGATATATTTGAATGTTATGTAGTTTATGGTTTTTCACATATATATATATTATAATACAAAGTGCCAAATTAACATTTTTCACTTGTTAAAAGGCTTTATTATTCCTTTATTGATTCTAAAAAGGCGTTCGATTCGGTATGGCGAGTTGGATTATGTGAAAAAAGGCTCAGAAAAATATTATCGCTCGGAAAATCAGAAGACAGATAAACCTATATGCTGGCTCTACATCTTGGGTTAAAAGGTGAAATAAAATCAAGTCTGTTCATTTGTCATGTTGGTGTAAAACAAAGGGAAAATGTATCACCTTTTTTCTGTTATTTAAATGATCTTGAAGAGGTGTTAAATTGAATATGGCAACATTTACCTTCAAACAATACAAAACATGTGCGATAATGTTGGATTATATCTAAAATTGTTTATTATCCTGCAAGAAGACTATACAGTTATAATGTCAGATACAGCAAATGAATTACAATCTAGGCTCCAGACTTTAAACGAGTTTTGTAATACAAATGTACATGGAAACTCACTCATGATACTAAAAAAACACATATATCTTTAACTTTTCTGGAAACAAATAGTCGCTTCCAATTTTTACACGTTGATGAAAAGCTATACATTCTTGCATCTTTCCAATATCATGCTATAATGTATACTATAAAAATAAACAACAGATGATTTCCAAAGGGGAAAAAAAGATAAAAATATAGAACAAATGTCACTCTAAGTCCAAATATTCGACGTCCTGGCCTTCTTCAAGGGCGGAAGTCAATATGGTTAATAGTAAGTTTCAGAATTTAAAGTTTAAGCCAGCAGCTCAAGCCAAACACGTTATATCTCTGTTTACTGAAAGATGCGCATTTATGGTATATGGAGAAATCTGTTATCTACTTATTATTGAATGCAAATATAGAATGATTATGTTTCGGTATAAACTGATATCTTATAATTATCTATCTAGTTAACTGTAAATAGAAACACACATTTCAAAGGGATTGAATCTGTCAAACACTAATTATTGATATTGGCTGAAATCATTTCTGGAATTTACAACAAACCTGTAAAATAAGTAATATAACTAAATGGTTGTTGTAAGACACAGTTGGCAGGATCTCTTTATCAAATGGGCTTCAGGAGCACAAGCATATTCAGATTTAAAAAATACATTCCAATGGAATATTAAAGTTTAGTATTAAATGTCGTACGTAGCAAATGGACGATGGCCGGGTTGGAACATCTCGTTAGAATTTAGCTTGTAATTTGTGTTTCGGAGAGATTGGAGATGAATACCATTGTTTGTTTATCAGTAAACTCGAACTAATATGTTGACTTAGTTTATTTTATTATAAACTAGTAACAGCAAAAACTATGTTACTCTTTCAGTACAATATAGTATGATATATGTTCGTATTAAGCCACGTTTAAATATACAGTATAAATTCTTAATAAAACTCGAAATTTATGAATATCAGTGCATTGTATTTAAATAATATGAATGAATTTTCTCACAAATGTCTGTGATTGTATTCCACCATGTAAATGTTTGTTGTACATATGTGTCCCTTTTAACGCGCACGTGTCTGTGTGAAATTATAAAATAAATCGGGAAACGTGCATAAAATCTGTCCTTTCAAACCAACGATAACAAAAATGTCATGATGTCGGAATTGAAATGAACATTTTAACGTATCTTTTTGAATATGTGCATTACAGTTTGTCAAAGTTTATCTATAATTTACCTTATGCGTTAAACACATTTTACAGTAATAACGGATTAAACATTCCCCCATAGGAACCTCATCGATACCTTGATATACATTCGGAACTCCATACATATTGGTGTTTTCCTTGCTCACCCAATACACACATGTACAATCTAGAACATGTTCAGGCCCGTTATCGACGAGTCAGCTATTCGTGTTCGTTCTGATGTGACGTCAGCAGATCGGGGTGTATATAAGCGCGCTAGCATATACACAGCTTCACACAACCAACAGTAGACATCACGGGAACACAAGCCTGTTTCAATATATAACTACTGTAATACCAACTGCCCATACAAGGTAAATTTAATATATTTTTAGTTCTAGACTCTTATAATTTTAGCCGTTGTTATATTACGATATTGTGTAAATATGTCAAGGTATCTGGATGATGTAGTATACTAGTAATTAAAAGTATAAACCATGTCTTACTATTCCTGTTTGTTTGTTAAGCTATCATCAACTGTTTTACCTGAGCCAGTAATAACTTTACCTTGCGTAATACAATGTAGCGCTAAAGAATTCCAAAGAACACTTTCGAGTTCTTGTACTTTATCAACAGCGAATTACTTGCTTTTGGGCTGTCTATGACCTTCTTGCACTACGTATAATTAAGTGGTATAAAGTACATATAATTAACTTGAGAAAACAAAAGAAGGTTATTTCACCTTTTTCATTTGTATATGTTCCTATATATGCGCAATCCAGTGGTTTTGTTCTAAATAAAACATACTTAAAAAAGATATGTACCTTTAACCGAAAGAGTAACTTACCCTTGGTTTCGAAGTTGCTGCTTATAAAACTTATATTAACATGATATAACTAAGATAATAAAGGGAAACATTATTCGTTGTAGCAGGCTTATATGCATGTTAAACGTTTTAATAATATTAATTTAAATATTCCAGATAAAAGATGGCTCTACCACCAGGCGGATTACAGGAGATATGTTTCTCCTTCGACACCACTGGTTCCATGTACAGCTGCCTGGACGAGGTTCGTGGACGTATCCAGGACATGATTCAGCGTCTCCAGGCCGACATACCCGGCATCAAGATCGCCGTCTTCGCTCACGGCGACTACTGTGATAGAAGCAACTACATCACCAAACACATCGACTTTACCACCGACGCGGCGACGCTGTGTAAGTGGGTTAATGACGTAGGGAGAACAAGTGGTGGTGACGCGGACGAGTGTTATGAACTTGTTCTGCACGAGGTTCAAAGTTTGAACTGGACTCCGGGATCACAGAGGGCACTAGTCATGATTGGGGACAACAACCCACACGAACCTAACTATCCCCAGAACAATCAGAGATTGGACTGGAGAACGGAATCAGACAACTTGTCAAACATGGTAAGCTGGTAGTCCTCTTTAAACTGATATGATCAGTCCAGGTCAAATAACACTAACATATGTTGATAGCAAATGTCAATCGTATATAACACATTTCGTAATTCATGAAACAATCCCTACGTCATATTTCTTCCAATTATTAATATACCTGTATGTACAGTATGTATATTTGGCTTTGCTTTCACGCCAAGCATTACTTATGAGAAATAATTAAAATAGTATGTATTCCTGTACGCTAAAATTGTTATTAATTTATCATTTAATTATAGTTAAGGATTGAAAAAAAAGAATTCGACATATTTGTTGTTTTTTTCGTATACTAAAATTTTGATAATAGTTATCAAGTCTCGGACGTAACACGTTTAGAGTAAGCATTTTGACCTTTTGATATTTTTTCAGGGAGTCCGAATCTATTCAGTTCAATGTCAGAATTACAATGGCGCAGACCACTTCTACAAGACCATAGCTGAAAAGACAAGCGGCCATTACCTCAAATTGGCACAGTTCACCAATATTTTTGATTTTATCATGTCGATCTGCTACAGAGAAAAGGGCGCCGAGTTTTTACAGGTAGGTACATATACCATAATTACAGTAGTTATTACATACAAAAGAATGCAATAACTTCAAACGAAAGAGGTAATGCATAACTCAAATAAGATTTGAAAATGTCCAACGCAGGGCAACAAGGCGCCTACCATTCCTAAAAGGAAAATCATACAGTGAGAGACTTTGTATGTTGGGCCTCCCCAGTCTAGAGTATCGACGATTGAGAGGAGATGTCATACACATTTACAAAATCATGTATGACATTGACATTCTGGATAAGGACAAAATTATTAAAATGGCAACATTGGCTACAACAAGAGGTAACTCCAAAAAACTCTTCAAGAGAAGGATGAGGCTCAATGTAACGAGGAATATGTACAGCAGTAGGGTCGTGGACGTGTGGAACTCTCTACCAAATATAGTTGTGGAGGCCCCCTCCTTAAATCGTTTTAAAGCTCGGTTAAACAATCACTGGCGTCATCACCACCAAACATTTGTACCAACCTGTTACCCACAACCGAACGTGATTAGAGAACAGTATATAGATGCGTCTCGAGAAGCTGGACTAGCTTACGTCGACGTCGACACTACATGAAAACTACATGAAAACATATGTTTATTGACTTAAAAGTTTTCGGAATTTTAATGACATCCGAAAAGTCTATTTGTATACCTTTGATTTTTGTTCCAAATAAACATGACCTGTAATTACTCATTTCAGGATTACGAGAAGGAAGTCAGGGCGAGAGATGCCACTGGGGGTATTCACAAAGATTTAGATACACTCTTCGGAGTTCTCAAACGAGCTGATAGTAGCCATGACGACACCAAGATGGATACGACGGTTGCACCAAAACCTCCGGCTCTAATCAAGGTTTCGTCACTAACGAAAGTCCCATCTTTAACAAACATGAAGAAGAAAATGGGAAAGACCTCGCTGACGTCTAGGCGTACAGGAACTACAAGTAAACCTCGCACAGTTACGAAGGTAAATCCATTTTATAATTGTATAAATATAATTCCAAATATTGATATGTACAATCAGACCTAAATATGACAACTTGATTTTATTGGCCCAACTTCCTTTATTCGCGAACTAATGCTTTCCCGCTGTACATGAATAAGAGTGATTTAATATTCCTAATGGAAAAACAAGTAGCTTTACAAACATGCTTACATATATCTTTATAAAAACTTTTCTTTAATAAACTGTAACCTTTTACTAAAAAATTACGACTAACATGTCCGTACGAACGTAAGAATCTCATCTTTTTTGTCATTGCAGAACGCTGTTGCACCTAAGGTGAGAAGGGAAAACGTTCCGGAATCTCATTTTGCTCTCTCAAGCCGAAAGTGGAGTGACTGGCAAACATGTTTATCGTGTGATAAAACTGATAGTGACTTGTGGGAGAAAAGGAATGGCGCCCATTTTGGTTACAGAAGAAAGGATATTTTTGATGGGAAGTTGACGAGGCCCACTATTTACGAATTTGCTGTTCAAATAGTTCCCGGTCACAAGAGGCATATCGTGTACTCAAAACTTTGTCACGGACTAACATTTGCAGACACCTGGGAACGTCGTCTACTCGGACAGAAGGATGTTCGGGGCCAAATTGAGGACATCCTTTCTAAAGGGTGTTCTGTTGCTGTTCGGAGACTAAAACTCGTCAACAGAAAAATAAGCAAAGCTAAAGCAGTGAATTCCTTACGTTGCTATGACTACGCTTGGCGTCGATACGGAAATCTAAGGACGAGTCATAGGTGTGTGGTTAAAGGATCTGTACAGATATCAAACGACACCTTCTAACTTTATATACAAACATTGTTATATTTTGTGATATTTTGGTATTATTTTGTGTCTTGTAAGTATATTTGTTATATTTTATTGTTTGTGTTGTGAACAATACCATTGATATCGATTATTCATTTCCTCCGATTAAATTTGTTCATTGTATTTAATGAAACATTTGTATCTCATTTTGCTTGGAAATAATGGCGCCATGCGGAACAGTGCAATTTAAACATAAAGTTACAAAGGAGTATCATCCTATACATTACGTACATATGTAAAATTATCATCATTTGTTTTATGTTTTAAAATATGAATAAAAGAAAAATCAAAAATGAAAAATTCTTAACTTTTGTGTGTAGGAAAATGCTACTATAAAAATTCAGAATTGATCAACTAAATTAGAATACTATCGATAATAAGGAGCTATTAGAAATAAGCAACACTTACCATTTGAACAGTTGAAGAAAGGATAACAATGTAATTAACCTCGGGATACTCGTCAACTATCCAATAAAACATACCATGTAATTCTGTCTACACTATATCGAACATACCACCCAAGCAATTCTGCTCACCTATATTATTTTGTCTACACCATCAAACAGATCACTCGAGCAATTCTGTCAGCACCATCAAACGTATCACCCAAGCAATTATGTCAGCACCATCAAATATACCACACAAGCAATTCTGCCTAGACCATCAAAACTTACAACCTGTATAAGTTATTAGTCAATAAAGACAGTGGAAATATTTCAATTCTAAGCTATTTCAAACTCTCTGTATGTATTTCTTAATGTTGCACATAAATAAAATTATATCATCGTGTTTAGAATGTCAGGAAAACAAGAAAAAAAGGTTGTAGTAGCACACAAGGAAACTCTGCTATGTTTAATTTGTTGTCGAATATGAGCATTTATTCAATGCCAAAGAATTATAACACAGTTCTGTTAGTTACATAATAATTGTGATCACTTTTTACTAAGGTTGGGCTAATGATAACAATTTATACAATAACACCGGAATTAACACGTTTGACCTGGTCATTACAATATTATAAAAATTAAGAATATTCAAACAGATGATATACTAAAGTATGGGATACCATGGCATAGCATGCATACCGAACGAAGATGGGGAAAAGTAAATTAGTTATCTAAATAGGTAGTGTTATTTACAGAGACGGGAGTTGGTCAGACGCGTACGATACACATATATATTCGATCCCCGAAAAAAGGATATTTTTTAATTGCTTATGACTTAACATAGAACAAAGATAGTCTGCCATCCGGGAGACTTAAAACCTTAAAGGGCTAAATACATTTTGTTTCCGATATCTTGTCGGAATCCTGGGTTCTAGCGGTTAACGGGACCAGCTTCCATTATCAATAACGTTATATTTTGCATTTACTCCTACCAACATGGACTATTTAGATGATGGGGAATACAGCGGACATAAGATTATTCCTTTTCCTTTACTTGGGTGGTAGCATTTTTATGTTAAAGACAATTCCTAATTACGGTTTTTGCTGATTGGTATAGTTTAAAAGTAATTTGATCAAAGTGCATGGATTCATTTAAGCAAAGAATAATTTCTTGCTTATATTCTTTATTAAGTGTAAATATATATTATTTATTTTTTTAAATGTATTTTATTATCTTTTTTGCATCTTATACATGATATACATTTCCATAATCACGTGCATACATTGTATGACAATATACAATTCAGTTGGTTTGCTTCTTCATCTTCTACAAGATTCTTACACATATATTTTTGCTCTTGTTAGGTAAATTCTTAAAAACTTTTGTTCAATTTCCATATAAATCACACTTTGAGTCTCGAGATAAACCTACTATATCTTGCCAAACTTTATGCATACATTGTAGTACAGTACACATTCAAATGATATGTTTTTTTCTCTATATTGCTTGTTTTGTATGTAAATGAATATTGGTTTTTGAATAAATCATGCTATAAGTCACTGTGTGTTGTAAAGATTCACCATAGCACTAATGTAAGTGCCATATTATCAGTTTTAATTATGTTTAATGTAGCCGGAACCAATTAGTTCTTTCTTGGGGGTTTTACCGGGGTTCACACTACATAACACATATACACCTTTAAACTATATTTCATCAATGAATTCCCAACACAGAGTAGAAGGAATACAAGTTTTGTAAGACTAGAGATTTTTTTCTGTTTAAATTTTGACATTTATACCCTCCATAAAGGGGCGTTAAGGGTAATTCTGGTATCATCGAGGTTTTTAGAATTAGTTGTTATATTCGTTATCTGGAATAAATGAAGTACGTAAATATGGTAATTTTAAAAGCATTCGACAACTGGTTTAGGAGATGTGTCATTACAAAGAGAGACATAAACCCGCATTTTCGTAATAAAATGCATGAATATCATCTGTAGTGCGCTATTTGGTTGAAAATTGGCCATTTTGAAGGAAATCAACTTAACATTCTTCAATATTTTGAAAGCCTCCGCATGCAACGCAGAAAGGGATTTTGTTTGTCACATGTGGGGGTTTCATTTCTGCATGCTAACTGTCTAAATACACTATATTTAGGCTATTCCTTCATAGCAACGCAATTTTGTTGCTATGGCAGGACATCTACGCATGTGCATTGGAAAAAATCTGCATCAAGAAAAATAGCCCCAATTAACCAATATGATGTTTATAACATAAATTGGTAATTAAATTAAAGTTAAATTTTTCACTTTGTACATGTATGTGGCCAAAAATAACCCATAACGACCCTAGTCCTTGTAGTAGGAAGAAATAGGAGACTAGATGCATGAGGGTGTACATTATGATGTAGTATACTACTTATCTCCATTATACATGTTCATTTCAGCATGGGACAGTATCATACAGATTAATACCTTAAATTAGACCTAAATGTATCCTGTCTGACACAGTGAACATATCATACTAATCGGTTAATTTTTCTTTGCGGATATAAAGGCAATTATATAAGACCAGCTAAGCACTTATTTGATTAACTGACGTCCCGAAATGATTATCCAGAATGAACATGCTGTACCCACGATACATCTTAAAATCATATAACAGATTATAATTTTAATGTGACTGCTTCACAACACAACCTCCTGGATCGTAGAAAGAATATGTCTGCTGATATGTCACTTCATGCTATCACATTCTTATATCACCATGTTAAAGTATTATTAATTTTCTAACGACCCATTTTATCCGTTTTGCTAGATTCAATGCAATGACAGCACTGTTTCGATCGATGACCAATCCAAAAGCACAAGCTTAGACAATTTTGTCTGAAACGGAGACAGAAAAAAACATAAATAGAAACGATATTTGTAGAAGGTATAATTATTGGGAGTAAACGATACAATATGTTTTTGATGTACAATGAGTAATTTGGGACTTGACTATACATCAATAAAGTTTGGGTAATACTCCAGTCGATTGTGCAATTGCATCATTATGGCGTACTTGAACATTTTGGTATGTTTATGTGTAGTTTTGTATACATGTAGTTTTGTATAAATGGGTAGATCTGTATAAATTTTTAATTTTGTTAACATCTTGGTATATACATGTAATATTCATGGGTATGTATACTTTCAATGGTATCGATTTATGTGTAGTATCTGGGCTTGATATTTAGTGTGAATTTATAGGATAAATTAAGTGTGTCTATGATTTTTTGATCCTCAATATTAGGCTGTATACTAAATATTCCAATCGTATCTCCCTTACTTCCTACTAGCCACATACTACATGTACAATATCCATATCAATTAATTAATTTGTCATATTATGTACAACATCCAGGGAGCTTGATGGTATGGACTATCCTGTCACCTACTGTCTTAGCTGATATTTGTGATAACTATAACTGTTTTAACAATAATTAATTATTTATCCCTGCTACTGTTTCACATGAAATGTTCGTTGGTACTTTCTTTCGAGATATGAAGCCATTTAGATCGTTTCGTGGTACAAACTGCCATGGGTATCCCGTATAAATAAACAACATTTCGTTGTTGTTTTTTCAATTTATAGATTTATTCACTTCTTTGATTTACAACGTTAAGTCTTTTTTTTCTCTACAAACAATTTCACGATTTCAAGATTAATCCTTCACTGTAATTAGCCTTCGACTACCTCGGCTACCAGTCGGCTGACAGAAATGCGTTTATATCAGCATATTATATAAATAATAATAGTAATATTGTATTGTGACTGTTTATCTCAGTGTTCTGTGTGGTGATAAGTAGTTGTTCATGCTGTTTGTCTTCATAAATTGTCGGATTCACTCTAAAATTTAGCAAATTCCCTTGACTGTACTGTTGCTTTTACTCCTTTGTTCATATATGTACTTAATACTCCAGTCGGAAATAGACTAACAATTACCATATATCCACTGGTCCTGATATGATAAAAACATATATTTGCTGTTTAAACTTTTAAAGTATTTAAGGTGTTATAACATTTATTGAGCATTCGATTAATACAATCAATTTTGATGATATATAGTTGTTTTATTCATCTCTGAAATGCCCATATAGTTTTTTCTATTATCTAATTCAAGAAAAATTATCTCATGAGTTCTGTTTCGTGCAAATACTTTCAAAAATAAAACTAAAAAAGACAACAAACTGTAATTGTTTTCCATTTGCCGAAAAATATTTTTGTTTAAATCGTTTGATAAACTTAGGTCCTTTTTATCTGAAATGACATGTAATTTAATTTCCATGTAATTTAAAGTATCCAGCCATTCGTGCAATAGTTTTATTAATTGCCTTTTAACTTCTTAAAACAATCTGTATGTTTTTTTCATCTTGGTAAAAATATGTTGTAAAATGGTCCAATACTACTTGAACAAGTTATCTAGAAAAAAAAATCGTCATATGAATTATCTCGAAGTCAAGTTAAAACTAAGTATTTAATAACGAACAAAATAAAAGAGAATTTTAGGATAAGCTAGTGTTTCAATATAAATTGTATATATGCATGTGTATCAATCATGTCCCTAACATTTTTATCATGTCAATTATCTCATATGATTATGTAGTACATGCACCTGTCAATTACGGTATTTTGTCTTGTTAAGTTATGTTATGCTAGTAATGGTAACACCGTCCTAAATATAACCGGACGTGATACATACTTCTACATTGTTAAAGTGTGGTATTTTACAGATCAGGTATTTGCTTGACGCATTAATTGTACAAATCATTATACATTTATTTAACATGACAAAATTTGCTTTAATTATGAACTTGTTTTTCTATTCATTACAAAAGAGAAAAGCAATTTGTTAACGTTTTCACGGACATAATTCTGGTTTATAAAATACCAAATATAAACATTCAACTGTGACACTCATCCATACTTCTTTACTAGCGATAGCAACAATATTGTCATCCTAACAACAAAATTGTTGTCTGAATTTAAGTCCACATTGTTAAGTTTCTTTCCTTTGAGTGGGAGTATTGCTTGTTCAATACACACAATAGATACAGGATCCAGAACATGTTGCGAAATCAAATCCTCTTTCGTTTGCTTTATAATTATGTATCTTTGATGTGCGTATTGCATACAAATCGATAACTATTAACAGAACGAACTTTCCCCAGAAGAACCCCAACGGTTTGTTGTGGTACATTCGGAACATAATTCTCATTGGGGTTTTCCTTGTGTGCCCAATACACGGAAGAACATGTTCAGGCCCGTTATCGACGAGTCAGCTATTCGTGTTCGTTCCGATGTGACGTCAGCAGATCGGAGTGTATATAAGCGCGTTAGCATATACACAGCTTCACACAACCAATAGTTGACATCAGGGGAACACAAGCCTGCTTCAATATTTACCTAATATCTACTGTCCAAAAAGGTAAAGTTCTGAATTTCTATAATATCGCTCTTTGTAACGAAATTTGTGTTAGAAAGTTAGAAAGGTTTTGATGGAATAATATAGTGCTAGTATGAACCATGTTTTTACTATGTAAAGGCTTAATTTATTAATAACTTTCTACAGATGGGTAATTGAACTTTTTTTTTATTAAACACCTACTTATGTCGGTCCTTTTTCTTGAGCAATGGCAAATCACATACTTTTGAGTGATGTTCAGTGTCACACTTTCTCGACCTACGTTTAACAAAACATATACTTACATGTTATTTCGATATTTTTGTATTTGTTAAGTCCCTGAATCGTTGCAATCCATGGACTTTGCTTTTGATATATCATGGTTAAATTAAAGTTATATGATGTGTAAGTGAAAGAGTAGCTCTTCATTTCGAAATTTAAGTTTCTAAATCCTGAAAAGGAAGAAAGAGTAAAGTATAAACTATATATTTTAATAGTTTGATAATAAAAAATAATATAAATATTCCAGATAAAAGATGGCTCTACCACCAGGCGGATTACAGGAGATATGTTTCTCTTTCGACACCACTGGTTCCATGTACAGCTGCCTGGACGAGGTTCGTGGACGTATCCAGGACATGATTCAGCGTCTACAGGCCGATATACCCGGCATCAATATCGCCGTCTTCGCTCACGGTGACTACTGTGATAGAAGCAACTACATCACCAAACACATCGACTTTACCACCGACGCGGCGACGCTGTGTAAGTGGGTTAATGACGTAGGGAGAACAAGTGGTGGTGACGCGGACGAGTGTTATGAACTTGTTCTGCACGAGGTTCAAAGTTTAAACTGGACTCAGGGATCACAGAGGGCATTAGTCATGATTGGGGACAACAACCCACACGAACCTAACTATCCACAGAACAAAAAGAAATTGAACTGGAGGACGGAAGCAGATAACTTGTCAAAAATGGTAAGCTGATTTATTATAAAAAAGAAAAGACATTTTGTAATTTTTGAACCAATTATTCTACTATTTGTTTTAATATATGAATTTGGTTTTGATTTTACGCCAAGCATTGCTGATGAGATTTTACAAATAAAAGCATATTGTCCGGTACGCTGAAGTTGTTTTATCCTTTAATTACAAGTAAGGGTTAAAACTGAATTTTGTAGATATGTGCTTGGTTGATATCTGTTTCTCGTATATTAAAAGTTTGATAGTATTTATCAAGTCGTGAACGTAACACACTTAGAGTAAGCATTTTCACATATTGATTTTTCAGGGTGTCCGAATCTATTCGGTCCAATGCCAGAATTACACTGGCGCAGACCACTTCTACCAGACCATAGCTGAAAAGACAAGCGGCCATTACCTCAAATTGGCACAGTTCACCAATATATTTGATTTTATCATGTCGATCTGCTACAGAGAAAAGGGCGCCGAGTTTTTACAGGTAGGTGCATATACCATAATTACAGTATTTATTACATACAAAAGAATGCAATAACGAAAGAGGTAATGCATCACTCAAAACATATACATGTTGATTGACTAAAAGTTGTCGGAATGTTTATGACATCCGAAAAGTCTATTTGTATACCTATAATTCTAATTCCAAATAAGACTAGGTTACACAAATTACTCATTTCAGGATTACGAGAAGGAAGTCAGGGCGAGAGATGCCACTGGGGGTATTCACAAAGATTTAGATACACTCTTCGGAGTTCTCAAAAGGGCTGATAGTAGCCATGACGATTCCAAGATGGATACGACTGTTGTACCAAAATCTCCGGCTCTAATCAAGGTGCCGTCACTAACGAAAGTCCCATCTTTAACAAATATGAAGAAGAAAATGGGAAAGACATCTTTGGCCCCTAAACGTACACGAACTGGAAAGAACTCTCGCACAGTTATGAAGGTAATTATACGTCTCGTGTGTATATATGCTGTACTATTTTCGTCTTACTTTCAAATCACATCCGTGTAGTATTTCAGTAAACAACAAGATTGTATTTCCACACCTTCAATTGGTTGCGAACTTAAAGCTTCCGGTTGTGGTTATATGATAGTGATATAATATTCGTTGTAAAAAGTGTATATGGTTTTATGCTTAACTATATGTAAGATGTCATCAAGTGGAAAAAAAAGACTGTTAACATAATTCAAGTGGCTGTAATTGTGGTATTTAGTCGATCAACGAACTTGCTTTCCTTAATTGAAGAAAATCTTTACTATGCAGTTGTTCATTATTCCTTCTTTACTTTTCATTGCAGAAAATTGTTGCACCTAAGTTAAGAAGAGAAAACGTTCCGCAATCTCACTTTGCTCTGTCTGACCGAAAGTGGAGTGACTGGCAAACATGCATATCATGTAATAAAACTGATAGTGACATGTGGGAGAAAAGAAATGGCGCCCATCTTGGTTACCGAAGAAAGGAAATTTTTGATGGGAAGTTGACGAGGCCCACTCTTTACGAATTCGCTGTTCAAACAGCTCCCGGTAACAAAAGGCATATCGTGTACTCAAAACTTTGTCACGGACTAACATCTGCAGACACCTGGGAACGTCGTCTACTCGGACAGAAGGATGTTCGGGGCCAAATTGAGGACATCCTTTCTAAAGGGTGTTCTGTTGCTGTTCGGAGACTAAAACTCGTCAACAGAAAAATAAGCAAAGCTAAAGCAGTGAATTCCTTACGTTGCTATGACTACGCTTGGCGTCGATACGGAAATCTGAGGACGAGTCATAGGTGTGTGGTTAAAGGATCTGTACAGATATCAAACGACACCTTCTAACTTTATATACAAACATTGTTATATTTTGTGATATTTTGGTATTATTTTGTGTCTTGTAAGTATATTTGTTATATTTTATTGTTTGTGTTGTGAACAATACCATTGATATCGATTATTCATTTCCTCCGATTAAATTTGTTCATTGTATTTAGTGAAACATTTGTATCTCATTTTGCTTGGAAATAATGGCGCCATGCGGAACATTGTTATATTTTGTATTATTTTGTGTCATGTAACAACAGTTAAATAACATTTTGCAATTGTTGATATTTGCTTGTGGAACCATTGACGACGTTTGTACATAGACATATTTATCACATGTTTGTTACGTGTTGTGTGAACAACGTCATCAAAACAATTTATTCATTTCTGATGTGATGGAACATTTGTGATCCTTTTAAATGTGCATCATTGTCGATAAATATTGTTCCGTTCACAATGCAAATTACATATCACGTCAAATATGTGTAGACATACATTGAACTATATATCTGTTGAATGTTTTGATGTTAATAATATATAAATAAAAGCAATATTAAATATAAAGTTTCCGAGTCGTGTTTTTATGTTAAAATGTATCGATATGTGAAACTGAATTTTCAAAATAGGAACTCTATCATGCGCGAAGTACAAAGACAACAAAGTGGGATAGAGTAAGTTTGATTGATCCTTTTGATTCCCCACAGAAAAATCTAACTTAGGACTATTGGTGTTGAGCTGTGTTACACCAATTATTTTTAATATAAATAGTTATTTGGTATTATAACCAGCCTCCAAATTATATTTATTTCAATAGTCTTTATTTCCTCCGGTATCTGTGTAAATTTCAGCTATCGGGAGACAAGGTGGTCAACTCTGTTGGTGAATGTTTTAGTCCCCGGGTTTGCTGTAACCTTGGTGGCACGGTTATATCATTTGAGTATTGGCGTGGTTCATAACATACACACTTTTGAAATTCATAAATTATGGGGTTTTACGCACCCCTCTGTCCCTCTGTTCAAAAGTAGTTTAGAAAATTGGATTTCTAACTTTTTTGGGCATCACCGACGAGTCCTTAAGGAACGAAACAGCTGTTTGATGCAGTGTAATTCATTTTTGGCATACAGTCATACTGTATCACTTACACAATTGCATCCTCGATATCCAGGGGTTACGCTCACATTCGTTTTCACCCCTGGAATATGTCATAGCAAAATTGAAGGCACGAAGATAGCTGTTTGATTGGTCTCAGGTAAAAAGTACTGACCAATCGCTAGGCTGATCCCTGTCCTTTGAAGATTACAAAGGAGAGATGCCCGACTTCAAAGCCTGTCAAATTGTACCGTTACGTGACCGCGAGATTCTTTTGATGTACATCAAAGGAGCAAACTAGTCTTCTCGTCTCATAAAGGTACTGCATAATGAGCCTTCAATTTTGCTGACATATTCCAGGGGTGTAGAGAGCGAAACAGAGCGTAATCCCTGGGTGACCAAATTATAAAGGTAGATTCATCAGTGTGTGTAACCTTCATCTTTCATAATAGTTTGTATATTAAATCCAAGTAATGTCTACTGCATTCCCAACAGAACGTACCCCCATCCCCACAAGTAAAATATCAAACCCATCGAAAGATACCCTTCACGAATACTACCTTACCTTACCTGTCGCATCATCCTTCCCATATCAACAATAATACTTACCCTTTCTAAATATAGAAGCAAAACAATACTACCTTCCCAATCAAAAGATACCATCAAAACAGGTCTACCTTCCCCATCAAAAGATACTACCGGAACAGTACTACCTTCCCAATCAACAGATACCACCAAAACAATACTATCTTCCCCATCTTAATATAACACTCACAACAATCCCACCTACCCATTGGACACATGCTACCCGAACAAGGGATGCCTTGTAAAATATTTTATTTTTATAAAAATAAACAGTATTAAATTACTTTATACAAATTTAACTATCTAAGAGAAATACATTTGGCTTATGAGAATTGTTCTCGCCTGAGTTGGATTAGCCACGCCTCCAGGAAGGTGGTCATGTCGTCAGTGTGGTCTGGCACACCTGCCTTGTACTCCTCTACATACGACAGCAGTCTGAAACAAGTATAATGGGAAAAGGATAGAGGAGACAACAAAACGAAATGGAAAGACATCATAAATCCCAATATTAAACTCTAAGCCTGACACCAGTTTTTCCGGACGAGTATTTTCTACACAACATATATAGCACCGGTCTAAAGTGTTTCTGATAATACTCCACTATCTTATCAGGAACTTCGTAATTGTAATAATAGTATCAGATAAACGACTCATTTTAGTTTTTTTCTACTGGTTCCAAGCGGACTTCATACTGAAAATTTTCTCGCAATTTGTACCTTAATTGATATGCTTTGCTAATTGTCACATTGTTTTCTTTAGGTCATTTTTGTGCAGTATTATTGCATTGGGAATCTTGACAGTGGCGTCTTTAGATTCACCTGATCACAAGCATTATGACACTGTCATATAGAACCATGTCTAATATGTACCTGTTAATCTCGTTCCAGGTCTCCCCTATTGACGGTGTGCCTTGTCGAATCTTCATCAACATCACCCTTTCTGCTGAGACCTCTGGCCTGTATACTATGATAGGCCCACCTCTAACGATGTCCCTGATATCACCGGCAGCCAAATAAAAAATATAAGTGATAAAATTGATTATCATAATGATCAGTTTTCTTTTTAATTATATTCATAAGTTATCTATTTTATATACAATTTTTGTTTATGAAGGTTCCATTATCAAAGCAATTTGTGTTCCCAACGTCATGTTCGTATGCCAATGCATTACGGCAGATATATCAACAATGACAAGTATAAAATAAACAATTACAAACCAACAAAATCATTAAACCAAATTCATGTCCAAGCGTATTTATGAAATTTTCCTTATTGATGGTAATAGAAATTATCATGGCCACGATTCTAACTATCTGCATTTTACATGTACCAGTGTTTGCCCCCTTTCTTTGTTGATGCACCTAGTAGTTTGCTTTCCCCTCCCTATATATCAAGGGGGAAAACTAACCGTTTTCAATGAGTAGATAAGGAGAGTAAGAAAATACTTTTAATGGCAAAGTAGAGAGAGGTGTTAAATTATTTTAAATGGTTAGATAGGAATGTGACAAAATAGCTATTCTTAATGAAAAGAGTAGGGAGGGAAAGCAAAGTACTTTTAATGGGAAGATAAGGAGGGGAAAACAAACTACTTTTCGTGGATAGATAATGAGGAAACCAAAGTCCTTTTAATGGGCAGACAAGAAATCGAAAAATGTTTTTAAATGTTTTAGTCTTATAGGATAGACAGAAAAGGGAAAGCAAACTATTTCCAATGGGTAGATAAGTTGGGGTAAAACAAACCAATTTTAGTGAGTAAAGAATGACGAAACCAAACATCTTTTAATGGGTTGATAAAGAGGGGGAAACAATCTACTTCTAGTGGATAGGTAATAAAGGGAAAACAATCTGCTTCTAGTGGACAGGTAAGAAAGGGAAATCAAACTACTTCTAGTGGATTGGTAAGAAAGGGAAAACAATCTACTTCTAGTGGATAGGTAAGAAAGGGAAAACAAAATACTTCTAGTGGATAGGTAAGAAAGGGAAATCAAACTACTTCTAGTGGATAGGTAGGAAAGGGAAAACAAATTACTTCTAGTGGATAGGTAAGAAAGGGAAAACAATCTACTTCTAGTGGACAGGTAGGAAAGGGAAAACAAATTACTTCTAGTGGATAGGTAAGAAAGGGAAATCAAACTACTTCTAGTGGATAGGTAAGAAAGGGAAAACAATCTACTTCTAGTGGACAGGTAGGAAAGGGAAAACAAACTAATTTCAATGGACAAATATGAAGAGACAAAAAGCTTTTTAAATAGGCAGATAAGTTTGGGAAAACAAACAAATTGTAGTGAGTATATAATGAATAAACCAAATTTCTTTTAATGGGTAGGTAAGGAATTCAAAATACTTTTAATGAGTAGAAAGGTTGGAGAAAACAAACTTTTAATGGATAGATACTAGTAGTAAGGATAAACAAACTATTTTAAATGGCAGATAAGGAGGAAAATAACTGCTTTTAATGGAATTTTAATAGGAAAATTAGGAGTTCAGATATTTATATAATACATGTATATCATTATGTGTTTGAGAAAGTAATTATTTCATCATTACTACCAATATACATAACCACGACAAACTTAAAAGATTGGCAAATCTTGAAAAGATGAATGAAAAGTTTAAAAAAATATATCTTGGCTGCATTCTGTATAAGGCTTTTGATGAGTCTGTGTGGAATACAGGTGTACCTACGCTGCATTCTGTAAGAGGCGTATGATGATATAGGCCAGCTTTGACATGCGGTCAGAAAGGGCTTCTGTTGGTGAATGTCCGTCTGTCATGCGTTGCAGCTGTTTTGTTCCCTTGCTACCACAGGCATCACGAAGGTATTTATCAAGACAGTTTCTACAAACAAAATACAATTAGAATATATATATACAATGTATCACAGAGATATATCTTCCAGACAGTTTCTACTGAACACATCCAAAACAAGGGTATCAGGTTTTTTTCCCAGTTCCAACAAGCTGTCGTAAGGTTTTTATCTCGTTAGTTCAATACACTTAAAGAAAATTTAATTTAGATGGAATCAGTGCATAAAAACCAAAACATTTTAAAAGTTTTCTAATACATTTATGTATCTCAAAAGAATTCTTTGTCATTTTGTATGAGAAATAAAATTCAAAGATCCAGTACTCTGATTATGTAACAGTAATTTTATCTTGTTACTCTGATTTTTGATTATGTGGAAAAATGTTTTTATAGACACTTAGATAAATTGAGGAGATGACTAAAATGATTTGTTACATGTTTTGTCAGCGAGAGATTGGATTTTTATCGATAACACTGATATTTCTCACACTGTAACAGACATCACTGCACTCAAAGCTTGCCATTATAATATGGCGCCAAAGATATCTGCACCAAAACGGGGGATCAGTATTGTTCATTGTTGATTTCCCAAAGTTTGTAGGTATTTTAAAAATGTAAATAGAACAAATAACACACATTTATTTTAAGCACTCATGCTTGGCACTTGCGTAAACTTCTTCTTTATGCCATACACTTGAGTTATATACTAATGCTAAGTCATGGTAATTAACAGGAAACCATTTAATATCCTCTATCAACCAATGTTTCTTTAAGATGGGCTCAATTGTTTTTCTTTCTTTCCTTTTCATTTCTAAGCAATATTGACTGCAATTTTATTTAAATTAAAAAAAAGGTATACATAACTTATCAACAGATTTAAATGTATAATATGAAGCAATCTCACTCCATTTGATAAGAAAAGTTTCATCATCACAGGCTGTAAGTAGTATATGGTATATGTGTGGTATAAAGGGAAGATCTCCTTTCAAATCCCAGGGTTCTCAGATTTTTACTTTGCTTTGAAATGAACAATTAATATTCATATCTTCAACTGTTTCTTTACCTTCTTCATTTATTAAAATTATGAAATGTAATTTGACTAATGCAGTTACTGATTATTGACATAAACTATATATGATATATATAATATATGTGTGTGTATTATGGAACTTAAATCAATTCTTTTCACTGGAGGTATTTACGGAAAGGTCACACCTTTTTGACACTGGAAAAATAACCTTACTCTTTTAACCCTTTCACCCCTATGTAACTGAAGTAGACTCTACCATGCATTGATATGGATGTGTCCATTATGATCTACAGTGGTAAAAGGGTTAATGCAATATTGCTGAAAATCACAGTATCACATAATAAATATTGAAAAAATATGTATATTATACTGAGCTCATAACCGCTTATCAGAAACCAAACAGTAGACAGACTGAAGAGGCTCCAATGTGTTTTAGATATGATAAATATTTTTGCTAAATGTATGGAATATAAGTACAAACCTTTCTTAATGAAACTGCACAGAGACAACATTTTTGTTCAGGACAGAAACTCGTTTTCAGATGATACATGCTCAGTTGACTTATATTAGTTATACAAAGGAAAATGCGATCCAATGTCCACAAGTGGATGTTCAGTGAAGTTCTGGTAATCCAGTTGATGGATTCCTAAATGGTATTCACTAGTCCAGTCATAATGGTAATAGAAATTCAGAAGGAAAGTCTTGGCAAATTTAATCCAGTTTACTTGTTTCGGCTCACTTAGTTCTGATGACGGCCAACCTAGCCGAAACATGTAAACTAAATTTAATTTGCCAAGACTCCCCATTTCATGTTGTCTAGTCATCTCTTCTTTGGAATTTATATTAAGTTATGTACAGAGTACTGTGATTGCTATTTTGAATCCTGCATAGTTTAAACAGGTTTCAGGGTAATAATAAATCGGTTCAGTATAGATAGGTTTACAAACAACCTATAAAGGGAGTTACCTGTTCACAAACAGGTGTTTATGTTGCTGTAGATGCTGAAATGCTGGACTTGTGTGGACCAGTGTATCTTCTGCGACAAACAGTGTCTCCACACAGCGATGGTCACCAGACATCAGCAGCTCTCCGAAACGGAAAATCTCATGGATGGTAAAATCACATGACTCTCGCTCATTGCTCTAGTAAGGAATAAAACAATAAAGTCATATACATGTATTCATAATGATGATATCTTATTAAGAAATTGTTTTCCTTTCATACCTGTTGTGTGTAGAGTATAGAAATGTCGGGATTTGATGTCACATTAAGGAAATTCCACCAGAGCACATTTGTATCATTTTAGTTACATTGTTTAAATTCTGAAATGTTATGGAATTTTTCATACATACCAACTTTTTTATAATTATATATATTTTTTTTTTACCGAGACCACTTTTTTACATGGACTTAATGGGCATTTTATTACAAAGAACAATCAAACAGTTGCTATGAGTACTTCGTCCTTTATTTAAGATAACAGGGAAAAGACATATGTCAGACGTTAGAGATTTGTGACTTTAAATCTTGTCTGAAATTTAAGGCAACAGGGAAGGGGGGGGGGGGGGGGGGGGGGGGGGGTACATAAGTCTTATTTGATATTTAAGACAACAGGGCAGGGGAGGGGGTCTCTAAATGTTGTCTGATATTTATGATAACAGGGAAGGAGGGTCTCTAAATTCTGTCTGGTAGTTAAGGCAACAGGGAAGGGGGTGGGGGTTCTATAAGCTAGCCTCGTCTGATATTTAAGAACATATTTAAGACAACAGGGAGGGAAAGGGGGGTCTCTAAATGTTGTCTGATATTTATGACAACAAGCTAAAGGTGGGGAGGGGGGTCTCTAAATATTGTCTAATNGGGGGGGTTTATAAGCCTTGTCTGCATGACAATCAAGACAACAGGGAAGGGGAGGGGGGTCTCTAAATGTTGTCTGATATTTATGACAACATGGAAGGAGGGTCTCTAAATTCTGTCTGATAGATAAGGCAACAGGGAAGGGGGAGGGGGTTATACAAGCCTTGTCTGATGTTTATGACAACAGAGAAGGGAGTCTCTAAATCTTGTCTGATATTTATGACAATAGGGAAGGAAGTCTCTAAATACTGTTTGATATTTATGACAACAGGGAAGGGGGTCTCTAAATCTTGTCTAATATTTTAGAAATGGTGACAGAAATTTCTGTTTCTTTCCTGATACACTTTGTACATATATTAAATTGAGTAATCAAGCTAAGTTGTATTTGAGAAATTCTGGAACTTTTGCAGTACACAGAATATATTATTTTATTGTTTCAGGTTCCTCACAAATTTTGCAAGCCTCAAGTTACCTTAAGAGTTTGTTTGGGAGGGTTAAATCCCAGGATGTCACGCGTCTTTGCCTGGTACACCAGGAACATGTCCATATCACTTGTAGAGGTGTGTAAGTTATACCTGAAATAGACAAGTCAATATATTACTTGTAGGGATTTGTAGGTATCTATATTATAACAGAATTGAAAAAGTATCCACCCATTATAATTTGTGTCTTTAGAAATATGCAGGTTATATATATTTCATGGAGATTTCATATTCACTGTATTAAAGCCGGAGTAAATATGAGAATATAAATTAAACACCCCAATTACATTGTCCTTCTAATAAAGATTAATTAGTGGGTTTATTAATATCAACAGTGTCACACAAATTTAACACCCTTTAAATTTTTATGAAGCATTCAAAAATGTGTAAAAAAAAAAAATGAATACACAAATGAATGTACTACAACTATACTGCAGACTTCTATGATGGTTCAGTCATTTAAGCTTACAAATTAATTCTATTAATTATATTTTTCTTCGAAAAGGAGCTGTCGTGCTTAAATTTTCTTAGGCAATGACATAAAAGTGTACCTTCTGCTGCCAAAAGGACATGCCATTATAATGTTGCCCAGTTCCTTTGTGATTTTCACCGATATCTTTAACCAGTTTTCATTCATCAAATCCACTTCATCTGAGGAATGGAAAAATGCAGGGGGTATATTTTCCTCTATCATCTTCATTTTTTCTTGTTGTTTGGTTTTCAATTCTTCATAAAAATTATCAATCAAAATACACAGACTCCTTCCAATATCACATGGTACTTCCTGCCAGTTCCGGGCTTTATTCAAAGGTGTGCCATCTGTCAATATGTACTGTTCATTGTCTGTGTCCTTAGACCTGAGGCATCTTTCACCAAAGTCATTCAGAAAATGTTTCTTCCATTTGACATCAAAGAACTTCCAATCAGTAGTTTTTTCCTCACGTAGTTGTTTATTTTCCATTGTTTCAGACGAATGTATTGTCTTAGAATCACATTTGGTGTTGGTCCTGTCAGAAGAACAGTTGGTCCTGCCATTGGTTTCAACATCACTCACCATTTCAGCATAACCATGCCATCCATGGCAATTGTTTACACTGAAAATAATGATAACATGATCACTAATAGCTTGGGCGTTGGTGAGGAGTTCGCTGGGGTGTGGAGGTACCTTGCGATTTCTACATGCCCATCTGGATGTATCGATACATTTACGTAAAGATGCTATACTGTCGCACTTGGCTATGAAATAGCTTGTCTTTCTCTCAATGGCAGCCATAACAATCAGTCTGAAAATATTAAAAATAATAGGGCATTAAAAAAATAATGATTAATATATATTATTGATAACAGGGGATATATGTAAAATAATTTTGCAACCATTGTAGGCATTAATACAGGAATTTTGGACTTCAACTTTAATGTTTTCCTTCTTAAATGTGAGGCAGAACTGGACTGGGTCAATCATCAGTGACCAGGTAACTCATTTGGTTGAGTATCCATCTACAGTTTGGAGGGTCCTGGTTCAAATCTCTGTCCTACCATTGCATATCTCTTTCTCCTGTTACAAAATTGGTGAGCTTGCCTTCCCTTGCTTCAAGCACTAAGTGGATGCTTAGCAAGGAGATAACTAAACGTGAGTTGTAAATAGTTGGGTCTTCAGGGGTGAAGAGTTCATAAAGGAGGGAGTAACAGATCTGGAATGGATCATTAGTCAGCGACCAAGTAGTTCAGTTGGTAGAGCGTCCGTCCAGAGTTTGGAGAGTCCCAGATTTGAATCCTGGTCTTGCTATTGCATTTCTCTTTCCCATGTTACAAATGCAACCTGATTGAATAATCAATAATTAAAGACTTGATTTCAAAGTCTTCCCAGGGATTTGATGCCCCTTAGGGATACACCTCTAGCAGTTAAGACCTCAACCTCGCCTAATTTGCATTCATACCATCTCATCACCAACTAAACACTATTTGAGGCCTGCAGTCACAGGGTAAGGACCAAAGAAAAATGGAAAAGAGCAGCAGAATTAGTAATTGACTGACCCTGTTGTCTTCCACATGACTTTTCTACCACTGTGAATAGTGTAGCAGAATTGGACTGGGTCGATGGTCAGCGATCAGATAGCTCAATTGGTAGAATATCCGTCTAGAGTTTGGATTGTCACGGATTTGAATTCCGGTCAGGCTGTGCATTTTTCTTTCTCCTGTTACAAAAACTGGCAAGCTTGCCAACTTTTGTGTCAAGCACACTGGATGAATGCTTGGCAAGGGGATACCCAATCTAGGTTGTAAATAGTTGGCAAAGTATGGGAACTGGACTAGTTGGTCGACCATCAGCTACCAGGTACTGAGGTAGCAAAATTGGTAGAGCGTCATCGGAGGGTCCAAGATTCTAATCCCAGTCTGGCAGTGCATATAGCACACACTTTCTCCTGTTATAAAGGCAATGCTTATACAAATGTAGCTACACGTATATGTATATAAGTACAGTACAATACTGCTACACGCACAACAAAGCTGGAACTTAGATAAGAAAAAGATGTTTTTTTTTATATCAATAATTGTTGCATATTATGATATCATTTTTTCAGTATCAAATAATGAATTTCAAAAATTTAAGAAATGAGGAGTTTTTTTCCATTTTTCAGTTCAGTTCTAAGCCATATATACATGTATAAGCTAAAGCATGTGCTGTTTAACCACAGGAGTCTGACGTTTACTCAATATAATTATGATAATATTTTTATAAAAAAAATACCCCTTATACTGGTGTTTTTTTTATATACAGATTGTTAAAATCATATATATATATATAAAGCATCATCTGGACTCATGTATACATAAAAACAGACACAATTGTTTTAATTGCATGCATTTTTTGGTTTGTTAAGGTAGTCATGAAAAAAAACCAAGTAGCAGGACATTAAACTCATGAAATAAAAATTAAATTAAATTAAATCATGCAAAACACGTACATAATTATAAATTATGTGATAAAGTCACTTGAGAGGAGCCAGATCCTCTGCTGACACAGGTTTACAGTTCTTGTTGATATGCTGATATAAAGGTACACCAAGAATATATTACATTCTGTATCTGTATACAACATGAATTAACATCCACAAGACCTGGCTGGATCCGATGATGAAGTAATTGTGCAATCTTTTACCACATGTGTCTAGTATGTCTATTTACATTTCGTTTGACATTTCACCGGAACCGGAAGTGAGTGTGTATATTCAAAAATGGCAGACGATCAGGATGGAGGTGATAAACCGCAGATGAAAACAAGCAGTTCTATTCAACAGATGCTGACTTCTATCATCCAGGAACGATGCAGAGACGTTGTCAAGTTCACAACAGATGGAGGTTCGATTATTGTATTGTTTTTTTCTCCGAATATTTAATATGGAATCATGATTTTTAGGACGACCAAGACAAGATCCCCCCCTCCCTGTTAGGCTCTTATCAGACTTAGGCCTCTCATGGTGGTTGTGTGTAACTAATGTGCTTCCTCTTCCTCGTCGCTCCAACTTCCTTGATTTTCTTGACAAAAACCAAAGACGGTCACATGTCAGGTTGTGACTATGCACTTGTTCATCCGTGCAGTATGGAGCAATTTGACCATTAAAACTCTACTGTAACTAACGTGATCGTAAGATGGAATACTTCTTAAAGAAAAAAATCCTAATATTTCCTTGACTGTACTGTAATGATAATATTTATTCAAGTAAAACCATGATACATGTACAAATATCACATATGATCATAGTTTCAATTGCATAATAATCATGCATGATGACTAAGCCTTTACCAAGGATATCCCATGAAAGCTGGGTGGCAGTTAAGATCTTAATTACTTAGACAACAGGTCCTAAAAACTTGACAATATCGTCTAGTCATCGGTTTCTGCGCGTTTTGTATTTCCGCGAAGCCATTTTATCATGCTATTTATCGTAACTACGTGACCTGCTGGACACAACACAAGGATATTTTAGACGTTTGGCCATCGTCTGTTAACTGAGACAAAAATTACCGGAAGTTCATCCGAAAAACATAAGAATTAATCACTGATTAAAAAAACATGCATAAATATGCAGTTTTGCTTACCGGTAATGCACTTTTTATCTTGCTCAAAATGAGCCCATACCTGAAAAAACGATGATATATTTCATTCGTGAACCGGTCTTTTTTGTAGTTTGACAAACGTACGAAAATATCGTATGCAAATGAGGCCACATCCCCTTGCTGATTTTTTTCCACTTCCGAAGAGCCAAGGAGACATTCTTATATCGATCAACAGTGTTTTCAATGAAACGTAAACCTAATTGTAATGCAATGAACTTCCAATTTTCACCAATTTTAAACAGAACAAAAGGAGAAATAACTTACCATCAACCAAAACCGATATAAGACTGCAGATTTTTTTTAGCAGATTCTATATTATAACTTAATAAATATAATAAATAAATTTATAAAATTACATGAATTTGTTCAATTTGACAACTTGAAAAATCAATTAAAAATGTGAAATTTAAAAAAAAATGTTTTGATAATTAATTTGAAGATCAAATATATATTTTTTTATTACAAACGAAGCATGTCGCTGTAGAAAATTCTTTTTAGTGTAATCGAGTTATCTTTCTTTGAACACTAAACCAAAATAGACACAGGGAAACATATGACTACTACTCCCATCGGGAGAAATTTGTTAAAAATTGTTTGTTCTGATTTTTTTTAAATACAGTTAAATGTTGCTAGTTTTTTGTTTCCTTTAATAGATTGTATACTTGTTTATGACAGTCATCCGTAATTTCAACAGTTTTCTGCCGATATAAGTACGAAATCACCGATGCTTCTCAAGTGCGCGGAAACCGGTAACCCGAGGATATAAGATGGTATAATTTCTCGTAATAATATGTATAGAATAAGTTGTACTAATTGGTCAAATATGATGATGTTATATTATTTCACCAAAATAAGATGTCATATCATTACACCAAAATAAGGTATATTATTTCATCAAATAAGATGTTATATTATTTGACAGTATAAGATGGAGTTGTGTATTACGTATCTTTACATAATGTAGTACAGTATAGTTTGTGTAACACATTACCATCGTTTTGACTGAAATGAAACAATTGATGCATTTATAATTAGCTTTTGATTTTATTTATTTCTTGGGTATCACTAGTGCATTAAATTTTATAGTCTAATTTTACTGTATAGACCTCATTTTCCTGAGTCTGTTCCACTTAGAAATTTTAGCTTGCTAGTGTAACAGGAGAAATATAAATGCACTGACTAGACCGGGATTTGAACCCTGGAAGATCATGACAGAGGCTCTACCAAAAACGCAATTGAGCTACTTGCATAGTCATTGATGATCGACTCAGTCAAGTTCCTCTACATCCCTCCCTCCAAAGGGCAAGTGAGCTTATGTCATGGTGCGGCGTCCATCGTCAGTCCTCGTACGTCAACTTTTCCTTTAAACAACCTCTTCTGAAGAACGGACAGGCCTAGAGTCATGATATTTGACTGAAAGCTTTGTTGGTAGGAGCCTGACAAAGTTTGAGAACGAAAATGACCTTGACCTACTTTCAAGGTCACAGGGGTCAAATATGTCAAAAACTTCAAACGACTTCTTCTGAAGAACTAAAAGGTATAGAATCTTCATATTTGGCTGATGGATTCCTGAGATGGAGCTCAACAAAGTTTGAGAATGAAAATGACCTTGACCAACTTTCAAGGTCACAGGGGTCAAATGTGTCAAACTCTTCAAACCACTTCTACTCAATAACCAAAAGGCCCAGGGTACTGAAATCAGGCCTGTAGCATGCTGTGATGAAGGACTACCAAGTTTGTTCAAATGAATGACCTTGACCCACTTTCAACCTAATGTCCTTGTTCAACATTCAAGGTCACAGGCATCATGTTTAAATATTTTTATATGTTCTTATGAATCAAACACTGATATTCTGCCTGTAGCTGTATTTTAGTCCACTTTTAAGATTACAAGTGTGAGATTGATACCAGGTGAGCGATGTAGGCCCATTGGGCCTCTTGTTTCCTGGGAAAGAGGCAAACAAAGTATGCAAATGACCTTGACTTACTTTCAAGGTCACAGCGTTCAAATATGTCAAACGGTTCAAACTACTTCTTCTGAAGAATTAAAATTCATAAAATTATAATATTTGTCTGGTGACTTCCTGGGATAGAGCTCACCAAAGTTTGCGAATGAAAATGACCTCAACCTACTTTAGAGGTCACAGGGAAAAATATGTCAAGCAACTTCTGAAAAAGAATCAAGAAGCATAGAATCTTATAATAATATTTTGCTGGTAGTTTCAACAGATGGAGCCAACAAAGTTTGTGAGGGAAATATTTTTAGTGCAATATAATATTTAATGAAAATATTTTGCTATGATCGACTGCTTAAAGGGGCTGGTCGGGGAAAAAATGTCATATTTGCTAAAATGGCATACACATGTTTAAAATACCTTCTTATGAAATATACCGATTCAAATTTTGTTGAAATTCACTCCCTAAGAGTAAAAATTATAATTATATTAAAGAAATCCTAAATCGTCCCCTGACAGTCAAAAACTCTCAATTGACCCAGATCAGTGATGTAATTTTACCGAACGTGCGTCATCAACATGGCCAAATGTAAACATCGTGCAAAATTCATGACAGACACGAGGTATCAATACCTTTATATATATAACAACAACATATAGGTAGGAATACTACACTTGCATCATACATGACCTTTGAAAACAATTATTTACGTATAGTATTGCTGTCTTGTCGGCTAGTTGAGTCCGACATGGCACATGACGGCGTGCTATTGTTGTTATCTTCACTGCCTCACTTTCGAAACAACCACATGACATATAAATAGATCTGCGCTAAATTTACACGGGGCTTCCCCGAGATTTCATTGGTCAAAACTGGACAGACTGACTTAACATTCATTCTTATTTGTTAATGTACATAAAATGATTCAAACAAACATACAACATACAAAGAAACATAGAAAATCCCTTATCACAGTAGGGTTAGTCAGGAAACTTGAAATGACCATATTGTTTACAAGATTAGCTTTAGTTAATACAACCTGCACCTGTCTTCTTTTTCAGAGTTTGAGTTGGTCCCCAGCACTGTGAATGATTTCTGGACCAGCCTCTTCACCAAGTACTTCCTTAGCGGTTCAGTGTCCACAGATGACACCCGGGACGACATGTTGTTTTATGTCAGAAAGACTCCGAACCCTAAGGGCAAGTTTTATATTAAGGTAAGTACTCATTGATAACGTTTAATTTTGTTTTAGCAGTGAAGATTAGTTTTAGCTGAGTTATGAACATTATTTTCAAACTGTTGATGAGCCCATTACTGCGGGACAATTTAGTGGCTTTTCAAAATGTTGGTGAGTCAAGAAAGAAAAACATGACCCACTCGAAAAACATTTTTTTGTTCATCAAATTATAACATGAATGAATATCAACAAATAAAACTGAGTACAGATACTATCTAACACAATCAATGATAAATATAGGTCATAAGGGTATCTTTCAGACAACATCTTGATGAATATCAAATACTGTATTTTATATTTTTCAGAAATGAAAACTACTGGCACAAATTTGTGAATGAGGGAAAGTTTAATTACATGTAGCATCCTTAAAAATTAACTAAGCATTTTGCTAGTTGATATGTGTTAGTTTGAAATAGAGGTCTCAGTATATATGATTGTGGAAAATATTGTGGAAAATATATGCTTAAGCTAAACTAGCCATTACAATGTACAAAGTTAGATAGTGTATTAGCACTGTTTTATATACTTTTAGTTTTATGGAGACTACCAGTATAACTTGTTTTACCAGGAGTAATTTTTCCAATGTAAGTTATACTAACTGTGTGTACAATATTGATTAGGATATCAAGCATTTCAGCTTATCTTGACTCTTGTGTTGACAGACAGAGATTGAAGTTTACCGAAGGGCCTCTAAAAATGTGCCTTCCCTGGAGGACAAGTCCATTAACTGGGAGGAAACCGTATACCTCAATATAATCCTACATCAGGTAAGCTGTGTACCTCAATATAATCCTACATCAGGTAAGCTGTGTACCTCAATATAATCCTACATCAGGTAAGCTGTATACCTCAATATAATCCTACATCAGGTAAGCTGTATACCTCAATATAATCCTACATCAGGTAAGCTGTGTCAAGATATCCCAGTTTGGTGGTTGTTATCCTACTTGAGTTAATTGTTTCTATTTGCGAAAGTAATATATTAATTCCTACAAGCCGGATATTTTTTTAAAGGAAAAATGTTAGTTAGGACATTTTACGGAAGGCTGTTTTGTTACTTATAACTTGTTTCACGTCAATACTCTATTTGATACTGTAGAGGTAGAATATATAAATTGATATAAATGAGAGAGATTTAGAAAAGTTGGACAAACTGAAATGTGTAGCAAAAATGGTTGAAAAGCTACAATATTTTGAGGGCATTATTTCATTCTTTATTATTTAAGAAAAAATATAATTTGCAGATACAGTTTCATTGCAGTATGTTATTATTGTTTGATTATAGAACTATGTTTTTCTAACATACTTCATCAGAATTCTGTCTCTGGTACTGTATTTTTTAAATATTTTATTGTTCAAAGAATTAAATTTATTCTTATGAAAGGCATGATTATTATATTTTTAGCTTGCCTATTCAGAGAATAGGGGGCTAATGTAGTCACCCCGGCATCGGCATCCCACTTCACTCAGGTTTAAGTTTTTGGGCAAGTTTTTTCCAGACAGTGTTGGATCATCACACTCAATACATTGATGTGTATAATATGGTTGAGGCATTTATATGGAGTGTAAGCAATGTGCTGAACCATATTTTCATACTTAAGGGGCCAACACTGGTTAATTGGACTTGGTTAAAGTTTTTGAGGCTTGTGGTTAAAGTTTTTGGCCAAGTTCTTTTGTGAAGTGTTGGACAACCACCATCAATAGGCTGTTGTCTATTACAAGGTTGAAGTATTGATATGGAGTGTTAGTAATGTGTTGAACCATATTTTCATGGACTTGGTTAAAGTAAGTTTTTGGGCAAATTTGCATGTGCAGCGTTAGATCGGTCACCAACATCAATACGCTGTTGTCTATGTCACGTTGTCTGGTCATCTCTTCTTTTGAAATGTACAACATGTTATGGTACAACAAAACCTTGTTATATTGCCACCATTTATTAAAAGAAATATTGGCATTATAAAGGGGTTTGGCAATATACTGAGGGAAACGTGAAAAGGAATTCTTAAGTACCACATAATTTACCCTTTCACCCCTATGTAACTTTAGTAGACTCGACCATGCATTGATATGGATGAGTCCATTATGGTGTACGTATACAGTGGTGAAAGGGTTAAGGGACCTGAAAATATATTGGCGGTAAGCGAGGTGGCAAATGAAATGACGAGCATTATATCAAGATTTACTTTACAATGTGTTTCTTGACATTTGCTATCTATCTTCCAACATATATCACCAATAGGCGCGCTATGCTGTTCTCTAACAGCTCTTGTGTGCAGTTTGTATAATATTTTTCAGATGTTTTGTGGTTTGTTTAATATGTTATAATCATTTTGTGGTTAATTGTTAGATATTTTATAATTGTTTTATAGCTTGCGTAATATTTCATCTTCGTTTGTAGTATGTGTATTATTTAATTAAATGTTTTGTAGTTTGAATACACCGTGACGTGTGCCGTTTGTACAAGAACAAGTGAAAGTAATCTTCAGATCCTAAAGAAATTTTCACAGGTAAGTTCTTTAATTTATAGTCATTAGCTCCTGATATTAACATGACTTTTTCATTGAGTGTGTAAAGTAAGCTATATGTCTGTTTTTTTAATTACATGTATTTAATTACAATTTCCTCTTTTATCTTTATGCTGTTTTATGTACTGTACAGTTATATGTAAGTTATTTTTAAAGTCTACAAATAAGAGTATTTTGCTAACTAAGCCTTTTAAACTTAGTTCTAAAATAACTCACAAATTTTTGTACAAATATTTTTATTATTTGTATTAACAATTGATGAAGTAATTTTTAAAAACAACCATCAACACTACCAGTTCTTGCATGTGGCTTCCTCAAATTTTACACTTTGCTTACTTGTGTGGTTTTGATTTCTCAGCGAGTCTACCCATCGCCAAGCAGACGACGGATGGACAGCAAAGGCACAGAGGAGGAAATCACTTACCCTAACATCTTCTTCACTGTCGACAATTTTGAGGAGGTGAAAATATACTAATCCTCAGTTTGTGTCCAAAGCTTTATGACATTTTCAAATAGTTATGCATTTTTTTGTAGTACTTGTTGGTACAAGATACAAGAAACTTAATATTTTGTCGTATACATATATAACATGAAACATCAGCTCTGAAGAACTATACTCTTACAACAGAACATATAAAAATATCACAGTGGGCATAAATGTAACAAAACATGCACTATGAAACAAAAGCACAACAAAATTGAAACAAAAGTATACATGTATATATTTAGCTAGAAACATGCAGGAAAAAACAAGCTTATGAAAAAAAGGGAAAAAAAATTAAAGAAAGAAAAACACAAAATAGAAAAACCACATTTAACTATATTAATCAGATATTCATTAAAACTTTACACTGTTAGGTTATATTTGTGATTTGGGGGGTTGTACATTAATGTTGTGAGATATTTGTTTGTGTTTGGGAAGTTAGGTCATGTTGTATATATATGTTTGTGGATGTTAACATGTATTAAGTGTTTAACAATGTTGTGTGGTACTGTGTTTGGAATGTTATAAACTGTTTGGTAATGTTTTTGGTTGATTAGAGAGTTGTTATAATGGTTATAATGTTATTTGATGTTTGTAGACATTTGAAGATTTGTACAGTATTGTGCGATGTTTGTTGATTTTAAATGTTTTATGTTTGTCAATGTTTGAAGAGTTTTAAAAGTTGTGTGATGATTGTCAATGTTTGAAGATCAACTTCTAAATGTTGTGTGATGTTTTTCGACATTTGAAGAGGTGTAAGTGTTGTGTAATGTTTTTCGACATTTGAAGAGGTGTAAATGTTGTGTAATGTTTTTCGACATTTTTAGAGTTTTAAATGTTGTGTGATGTTTTTCGACATTTGAAGAGGTGTAAATGTTGTGTAAAGTTTTTCGACATTTGAAGAGTTTTAAATGGTGTGTGATGTTTTTGACATTTGAAAAGGTGTAAGTGTTGTGTGATGTTTGTGGATATTTGAAGAGTTGTACATGTTGTGTAATGTTTTTGGATATTAGAATAGTTTTAAATTTTGTGTGATGTTTGTGGATATTTGTATAATGTTGTGTGATGTTAACTTTTTTTGTAGAGTTTTAAGTGTTTGGTGAAGACTGTTGATATTTGAAGAGTTGTGTAATGTTGTGTGATGTTTACGTTTTTGGATATTTGAAGAGTTGTATAATGTTGTGTGATGTTAACTTTTTTTGTAGAGTTTTAAGTGTTTGGTGAAGACTGTTGATATTTGAAGAGTTGTATAATGTTGCATGCTATTTCAGGCGTTTGGAGACATCATTGTAAGAGACAGTGAGATGGTATGTGTTGAGCTCACAGCAGCAGACAGAAGGGGCAGCCTACAAGGAGTTATCTTCCTTGGATCAATACGCTACGAAGCCCTGAAAAAAGTGTATGATGCACGAGTAAGTTATTACGTTACAGTAATATATTGTAGGTGAGGTGGATTCCAGTATCAGTTTGTAACTGTTTGAATTAAAACAAATAAAACAAAAACCTCATTACCACAGCCTACAACTGTATATACTTATAATAGTAATTTATATTCAAAATGAAAACATATACAATTTTACATTAAATGGATGACTCAGGACAAATCATTTGGAAAACCAAGTATGTTCCTTCTTACTTTCATCAATAAGACTCTAATAAGATTTAGACTATATCATTTACTGTATTACAGGCCAGCTTGACATCTAAGATGGTACAGACCATGTCCTTGGGTTGGATCAAGAACCACAAGCGGGTGGAGTTTGTGAGAATGAGAGGCCCCCAGAGTAAAGGACATGCTGAGGTTGCAGTCAGTCGGGTGGAAGGGTCAGGGCCGGAGACACCAGACTTGGAGAACTTCCCTGTTGAGGACTTTGATGGTCAAGAGAGTGAACAACAACAGGTTTGTGCAGTCAAGAATTATGCAGATCACTTTTTAAGGAATATAATAATTTTCCATAACTGTAATAGAAGAAATAAACATGTCTTGTATGTGACTGTTGTATGCACTTTGTTATATTTATTATAATGTGAATGTTGTATTGAGTAATTACATATCCTAACATGAGTGTTGTTTTGAGTTATGTACGGTAAATTTATGTAGCCTTATGGTGGTAGCATGTTTACATCTGCAGCAGAACCAGTACACACAGAGGAGGATGAGTGATCCTAGCTCCTCAATCGGATCGTTGGTGCGAGGGGGGATCAGAAGGATGAGCATGAAGAAATCACGCTCAGAGACAGAAAGAGTTGACCACACTCTGGACGTGGACGGATGTCATGAGGTCGAGGCCGGAACAATTCAGGAAGGTAATAACAAATACTGTGATTTCGATCACCAGGCCCTTTTTGAGTCTTTAAAAATGGACTTATTGCCGTCCTTCATTTGGGCAAAATTTCTGAAATTTCTGAATTTCTAAAATTAAAATTTCTGTTATTACCCCCACTTGTTTTTACTGTAGTTGTTAATGACTATTGACTAGTGATCAAACCGTCAGGAAACAAAATGAAGCAGTTCTGAGGATTGCCCATATTGGGCTGAAACCTGTAATCCTTGTATAGAAGTTGCAGGTACACCCCATTTGATGTTTTCTCTGCTCATCTCTTCTATTATTAAAATAAGAAAAGGAAAATTCTTTAGATATCGATGTATGTTAGAGTTTTATTTTATTTTGCAGCTCACTGATTAAATGGCTGGTATATAGATACATTTTAATTTATCAGATAATTTTCTGTGTTATCCAGTGAATATACCCATGTCATATTTTTATGCGTATGTACCAATGCAATATGACCTATCAAAATGGCGGCTTTTTACATTTCAAGGTAATTACAAATTAATGCCACAAATCTTGATTATGTGATAAAAAGGATCTTACACTCGTTGTCATTTGATATGAAATCTCATATGAAATGGAAACTCATGCAAGATCCTATATATATGTATATATTTGCTAAATTCTCATAATTTCTAATCTTAACCCTTTCACTACTGTAGACCATAATGGACCCCTCCATATCAATGCAAGTCTACTAAAGTTACATAGGGGTGAAAGGGTTTGTTGTAATACATAAATATATTTTCCTAAGAAAGAAGGTGTGAACACATCAACACCAGGGACAGAAATTTTAATAATTATTTATTTCACCAACATTCTCATGATTTCAGAACTAAAAAACAAGGAGCAGTATGAAGGTTTTCTTGGAAAAAGTTTCGGACAAGCCTGGCACATATTCAAGGAAAGAAAACGAGCAAACAGTGTGGCACTCAACTCCTACCTAACCTACATCACTCTACCATGGCACCGGATAGTGGCAGGTAACTGGAATTTACAACATACCTATCAAATATACCCGATCTCATCTTGATGTTTTTATGTGTTAGAACTAAATATGTACAACTTACCTATCAAATATACCCAATCTCATCTTGATTGTTTTATGTGTTAGAACTAAAAATGTACAACATACCTATCAAATATACCCGATCTCATCTTGATTGTTTTATGTGTTAGAACTTGTGACAAAGGTTCTCCAGCTTTTAACAGTAAAAGTTGAAATGATTTTGTGATGTATGTGATAAAAATAATCTAAAGTATGTTTCGTTGATTTGTTTATTTATCACCTTTAATACCATTTTTATGACATGATCCCAATTTTATTTAGTAATAACACCCATGTCGTATTTCTATTTTCTGTTTGTTTATGACCTCTCCCATTGTGGTGTCAGAGTTGAAACAATGATCATAATGTTATATATAATTACGACATGATGGCTTTCCATGAGAACAAATGACATGAAGTCGAAATTTACACATCAAAGACTTGACTTTGGTCAGGAAAAAACAACAACATGGTTTTGGCAAATATTTGCATCTATTCCTTTCCATTACAAAATTTAATCTTATTCAAAATGTGTTTTCCCGCTCAACTGATCGAGTACCGCTAACATGAAAACTTTTAGACTATTGAGCTGTTAATATATATTTTTGGTTGAATTATGACCTGAATAAAACATGCAAATATATCTTACCTTCTAGCTGTTTATTACTTGAATAATTTTATATTACATTGTTGTTGTTGTTTTTATTTGCAGATGTTTTAGACAATCGCCAAAAGCCTTCATTGCTTTTCTGACAGATAGGGGACGTGGTTGAGACACGTCGTATGAAGATGACCAGTCCAGTTAGTGTGACCAGTCCAGTTCGAGTATAAGATGACCAGTCCAGTTAGTGTGACCAGTCCAGTTAGAGTATGAAGCTTAAGATGACCAGTACAGACATATTTAGCATATGAAGGTGACCAGTACAGATAGAGTATGAAGATGACCAGTACAGGTATATTTATTATATGAAGGTGACCAGTACAGGTATATATTAATTAGCATATGAAGCTAAAAGATGACCAGAAGTTATAGCTGCATGAAGGTGATCAGCACAGTAAGTGCAAATGTGACAGTAAAGTAAGCGAATGCAGGTGACCAGTAGCATATGATGGTGACCGAACAGTTATATTTAGTGTTTGATAGTGACCAGTAGTTATAGCTGCCTGAAGATGGTCAGTATAGTTTGTGTGAAGCTTGACCAGTACATTTAACATATAAAGAAGACTTGTATGTTTAGTGTATGAATTTATGAAGATTCATAATACAACAGGTATGTGAATAAGTAGATAGTCCTGATATGGTCATAAGAATGTAGTCCTGATATGTGAATCAGTGGTAACAGCTGGTATGTGAATCACTGGTGAAAGTTGGTATGTGAATTGGTAGTGACAACCGGCATGTGAATCAGTGGTGACAACTGGTAAGTGAAAATAGTGATTACAGCTGGTATGGGAATCAGTAGACAGTCCATACATGGTCACATTCATGTATAAGTCTTGTTGAAGTAAAATAGTAAGGTCCTGATATGTGAATCAATATCTATAGACAGCCTGCATGTGAATCAGTGGCTACAGCAAAAATGTGAATACCTAAAGTGGTGACAGCTGGTACAGTGTATGTGAATAGTTGTTGGCAACTGCTATGTAAATCTGTTGTAACATTTGGTTTGTAATGCAGTGGTGACAGCCAATATGTGAATCAGTAGTGACAGCAGGTATGTGAATCAATAAGATTGTTGGTTGTCCACCAGTGTAACAGCCAGAATGTGAATCAGTGATGAAAGCCACTGTATGAATCAGTGGTGACAGATAGTATATATATATATATATAAGGTGTGATAACAGCTATAGTATGTGCATCAGTACCTATAGAAAGTCATAAGGTGAATTAGTGGTGACCGTGAGAATACAAATCAGTGGTGGCAGCTTGTATGTAATCAGTACCTATATGGACAGCTGCTATGTGAACACTGGTGACAGATGGAATGTCAATAAGTGATGATAGAAGATTTGGGAATCAGTACCTGTAGACAGCTGGTATGTAAATCGGTACATATAAACAGATGCTATGTGACTCAGTGGTGACAGCAGGAGTGTGAATCTGTGGTGACACTCTGTATGTGAATCAGTGATGACCGTTGGTTTTCATTTTTAAGGTGCGATAGCCGGTATGTGAATCATTACCTATGAGCAGCTGCAATGTGAATCATTGTTGATTACTTCAAGGTGAATCAGTGATAACAGCTGGTATGTGAATCTTTCAAAATAGCCGATATGTGAATCAGTAGTTACAGTTTGAATGTGAATCTGAACGAGTGATAACAGCCAGTATGTAATTCAGAAATGACAGCCAGTACACAAGTTAGTATACAACACATACAAGGTCAGATTGAGCTATAAGTTTGGTAAAATTAACTTTTACCAAACTTATAGCTCAATCTGACCTTACATGGCCTTTTGCATCATAATGATTTTCTGAGTGAGATGGAACTTTTAAGTGTCCCTTAAATGACCCAATTGTCTGTGACACCATCTTACATAAAACCTTGGTTGTTGCATGGATACAACAAACAAACCATTAGAGTGAAAGTTCAACCAAGGTCCTTTTCATGGTGAGACAGTTAAATTCACAGTCAATGTTTATGGTAATACATGTACCAGAAACATCACTTCATTCCTCGTGCTCAGCGCTCAAATTCATTTTCCCTGACATTTAGTATCAACAAGCACATTTTTAAAATCTCCATTGTCTGTTTGACCATTACAGGATGTTTCCTGATTAAACATTAGAAACTTATATTTGGCTCTATTTACGATGAGAGTAAGACAATTTTTTCCTTCAACAATGTTTAACTTTAATAATAGATTTCATTTATAGTAGGACACACATTCATGTCGTAATGTTGGTTATAGATGAAGAACACCACAACAGTGGAAAACGTTGTGTAGGACGACATAAGGGTCAGAATGTGAAGGTCATCGAATATCAGACCCAAGCAGCCATAAACATGTGTATCAAATCAAACTATTGGTAAATTTGATGTATATTTGTTGTTTATGTTTCTAACTCACTGTAAAGCAGGAATTTTACTGGGGGTAAAATTTGTTTATAAATGGAGAAGAATTAACCTGTTAATCAATATATAGTAGAAATCATTTATTAATTGATTGTTTTTATTTCTAACTGACTGTAAAGGCAAATACTTTACTTGAGGTAAAATTTGTTTATGAATGGAGATCTAGTAAAATTAACCTGGTATTTAATATGAAGTATAAATCATCTATTAAGTGATTGTTTATATTTTGTTTTCATTTTGTAAAAACCACAAAATAAACAAATTAAAATCCCCAAACAAAATTCCTGACTTCAGGTTTAACAAATAGCCTTTAGTTGTATGTAGTTAATTAACATGATCATATGACTGGTATGATCATTGTAAATCTAGCTTGTAAAAAAGTGTAAATATTCCTGTTTGATATTCACCTATAATGTAATCATGTACATGTATTATTTTTCAACTATCAGATCTAGCTAGGGGTATGAAAAGTATTTTAAATTATTCTAATATCAGCAGGTATATACTTTGTTTCTTTTAATAACACATTTCATTTAAAACATGAAGCACATTTAATGTGAGTTTATTATCTAATATCACATTCGGGTTGATGTATAATATCATATTTCATTTAATGCAACATTTCAATTAATACCACACAGTTCACCTACAACATGTATAACATTTCAATTAATGTCACATTTCATCTAGTGTAACATTTCAATAAATGTCACATTTCATCTAGTGTAACATTTCAATTAATATCACATTTCATCTAGTGTAACATTTCAATTCATATCACATTTCACCTTGTATAACATTTCAATTAATATCACATTTCATCTAGTATAACATTTCAATTAATATCACATTTAATCTAGTATAACATTTCAATTAATATCACATTTCACCTAGTGTAACATTTCAATTAATGTCACATTTCATCTAGTGTAACATTTCAATTAATGTCACATTTCATCTAGTGTAACATTTCAATTAATATCACATTTCATCTAGTATAACATTTCAATGAATAGCACATTTCATCTAGTATAACATTTCAATTAATAGCACATTTCATTTAGTATAAAATTTCAATTAATAGCACATTTTATTTAGTATAACACTTCAATTAATATCACATTTTATTTAATACAACTTTTCAATTAATATTACCAGGTATATTTCAATCAATATTACCAGGTACATTTCAATCAATATCACATTTAATGTCAAATTTCGTCTAATATCACACTGGATAATATCACATTTCTTTTAATGTCATCTTTCATTCAATAATCACATTTAATATTACATCTCCCTGTAACAAATATAGATAACCTTTAGAGAAATACACTGTAAAAGCTGATAACATTAGGTATTAAAAAGGGTTTCAGTCAATGAAAATTGTGTACTTTATGATGTTTTCAATGTCATGAATATATCTAAGGTAACATAATAATAATCATGACGTAGGTATGCATCATAAACAAATATTGTCATTATCTCTATCACTTTAAATACTTGCCAACCTTTTACATTTTTCATGAGGGAGAAATCACATGTAAATCCGTGTATAATCAACTCAGGATTTTATGTTTTCATATTATGGACATCCTGATTCAAAATCAGCTTCCACGATGGTCCATGTTGCCATTTAATTAATCAATTTCTAGTCAAACTTTTTGGAGAACATTTAACTTTATATATTATATTATCAAATACACTACAAACACATGTTGTTGATTAAAACTATTAGGTTGGATGTGTTGGGTAACTGTGTATGTTTGATGTATATTGAAATTGTGCGAGAGGCTGTACCTGATTTTGAGCGGTGTATGTGAGATTTTGTAGAAGAATATGATCTTTTTACAGTCAGAGAATGATATTTTAATCATGGTTTAAAACTCCACAACCACACATTACACAAAGTAGAAACAAGCAAATACTTAGGACTAACACTACAAAACAACCTACGATAGGACAAACACATAAACAATATCACAGCCAATGCCAATAGGTCCCTAGGTTTTCTCAAACGCAACCTGAAAATAAACTCACCACATATAAAAGAACATGCATACAAAGCACTAGTTAGGCCTAAACTTGAATACTGCTCTTCCATTTGGGATCCACACAACACAAACCAAATTAAACAAATAGAAAAAACACAACGAAGAGCAGCACGCTACGTACAAAACAGATACCACAACACTAGTTCCGTAACAGACATGATCCACACACTTCAATGGCCAACACTACAAACACGACACTTATACACTAGAATTAAAATTATACACAGAATCGTAGCTTTAAACCCAACACATATACTCACACCTGTAGACCCCCGCACCAGACAGGTACACCCGTACGCATACAAACACATATCTGCTACAAAGGACACCTACAAATACTCATTCTTCCCACACACAGTAACAAAATGGAATCTCCTTCCCTTAGCAGCAGTCCAATGCACAACACTAGAGGACTTCAAGGCACACTTACCCTACACAGCCCTTGAAGCCCTCATCACACACTAGTACATACACCAGATTTTAACTTTTTATCTATACCTTGCACAAAAAAATCACAAAAAAAACCCAACCCCCCCCAAATCACTATAAATAACCCCCTTCAAGCCTCTACAATAGGACCCCCCGATGGCATAATCATCAAACTGATGGAGCCCTCGTATCAAGAAGAAGAAGTTGATTCAATGTTTGAGGAATACAGATTTAAGTCTGTTAACTGTACAAGTTAGTTCCCCTCTAACTGGTATCCTGTATTGTTTTCTGAAAAATAAGAACATCAAATTAATCAAACTTGAATTAAATAATATGCATCAGTGTATCGAAAAATCTTTTATAAAGTGTTACATGTAGTAAATTTGAATTCATAGGTGTTAATAAGATATTAGTCTGTGAATAATGAAACCTCAGTCTCTATACAATGTGTTCAAAAGAGAAGGGATACTGTTGGACGAGTTATCTGTCCTTTTGCGAATTGGGAGTAATTACTGAAAATACTGGTTTGTCATTAATATTGTACCTGTTTTAGAGGATTTCTTTTCTGAATTCTTACTGCTTCAAAATGTACATAAATATAATATATCTTAGAAAATAGTCTGAATGTTGATGTGAAGAAGTATATTAACATGAAAAAAATGTTTGTTTCCTGATGAACGCCCAAGACTTTTATATCAGACATTAGACTCATTAGACTTAGTATAAAATTAGACTTTTATATTAGACATTAGACTCATTAGACTTAGTATAAAATTAGCCTTTTATACTTGACATTAGACCATAGATCAATACAGAATTAAAGTTTATATTGATCGATATTGGGACCAAGATGGGTTGGAATGCATAAAAAACATTTTATTTATTGTAAGAAAGATTGAGAGTGGTATTAGAAATTGATGATTGATATTGTTTAAATGTTTGTGTCTTTTCACTGTCTACAAAATCATTTTAATGGTATTAAATGTTTTTATGAATCTGCCATACTGTAAGTGTAAGTAAGCTAGAATTCCTCATATTTATTGTTTATCCTCATATATATTGTTTATACGGAGCTGCCAAAAATCTCCAAAACATTCTATATTACAAAGAGTTTATTATATTACAAATGCACAGTGTAAATCCAGTAAGACAATGCCTATGCGTGATAGTGCTTTATCTGTTTATATGTATTACAATATGTAGCTGTATTTATCTGTCAATAAGCACACACATACCTGTTGTATTTCTGTACAAATGTGAATAGATGCTATTTCATTGTTCTGTAATTATGATATCCTTCTAACCCCCCCAACCCCCTGTAAAGAGGTTATGTTCGATGACTAGTATGATATGTACACCGTCACCTTCATCAGACAAATGACCAGTGAAGCGTATGCACACAAAGGTGTAAAATTTGTACGAGTTGTCCATAAAATCGATGTCGATGTGTGGCATGGTCTGTGATTGACTGGGATAACTCGAAAATTTTGGACAGAGAGAGCAATCTGTTCAAGCGGCAGATAAAGGAAGCCATCTGGATACGCTGCAGTGGGCCAGTTCTAAATCGAGACGAGGGGGCTCAAAGACTCGCATATCTATGACAAAGCGTAGCTGAATTGAGTCATTTCGGTACATATATAACAACTATTGTACATACGTTTCCAGCCGAAATCGACATCAATTTGATGGACAACTCGTACAAATTTTACACCTTTGTGTGCATACGCTTCACTGGTCATTTGTCTGATGAAGGTGACAGTGTACATATCGTAATAGTCATCGAAACGTCACATAGAAAATGTTATTGGTTGTGTAAAAAGTACTTCTCATAATCCATACTTACCAACCTGAAGAAAGTGTTTAGAAATAATTAATTTTTGCCTCGCCGCCACAAAGTAGCAGAAGCGAGACTAAGGCATTGCTGCGATGGCGGCGTCAACATTAAGTTTTTCCGTTTAAGTTAGTTTCACTGAAAGTATATGTGCTAGACCAACCACACTTGACCCATAGATGCATCTTAGGTAGTACATCTCAACCCATGCATCAAATGCTGGATGCAGCCTATATATATAGCTACCTTTCAAGGTTCATTGACTTTGTCAGTATCTCATCAACGCTAAGTTTTTGCGTTTAAGTTAGTTCTCTGAAACTATTAAAGTGCTACACCAACCAAACTTGACATGTGCATTGATGGTCAAAGCAGGGCACAGGCAAGACATATCAATCTAAATGGCTTATTATAATAAATATTAATTATTGTTTTCAGTTGAGAGCTGTCATGCCTGTATTGAGTGTAGAGGCAAACATATATATTCCTGATGTTTATGATTTACAGATTGTCCTGTCCTAATATAGAAAACATAACAGCCCTCCGATCATTCCTAATTAAGTGACATTCCGATACAACACTTCCTCTTAAGAAATAACTTCATGTTGAACAAAATTTACATACCGTTCGTTCCTTTTGTTCAATAAGAACATTTGTGATGTCAAAATGTACATATGACGTCATAGGAACACTACGCCCAATCCCATTGTGTTTATAGTGAAATGAATGCAGTGGGACTAAAATTGGCAGTTTGTATTGGGCAAGTGCAATAGGAATTTAAGTCTTATTTACTGGAATGAATAAGGGCATTAATTAACTCTGGTATCCTTGTGATGGTATACACTTGCCCCTGTGTTTCGAACACAGACCAAACATGTGCAATATTGTTGTTCAGATTTATTGATTCTGTTAATAGATTCTGTTGTATGTTAATTATGTATTTATAATGTACACTGAATGTGTTTCTGTATTTTTCTATTTTGGCCTATAGGACAATAACTATTTCACAAAATTTCTCTTCTTTATGAATGTCTGCAAAAAGGCAACAGATTTTGGTCCAAATTTTTCTTAAATCATAAAAAAAGTTATCAAATAATCTCTGATTTCCACAGCTGAAGACATGGTAAACATTAATTGTCCATCACTCTAAAGAACAAAAATAAATTCCAATGGTAAAATTTATTAATATTTCACTTTGACTTTGGTGAAAATTCTTTTGGTGAAAATTTGTTAAAAATGTTTAAAATTGCACAGTCGAGATCAAATAAGTTATTTTTTACTAATATTAGTGTATTTGTATCACATCTATTAAATCTTGACACATGTAAGAG